TATAATATTGATATAATCTGTAATATATATAATATATAATTATATAAAAAAAAATATATAAATTTTTGTTATATGTACAATGTACATATATAAAATTTTATTTACGCATTTTTTCTAGACGTAACCAAAAGAGTAGACATAATAATATAAATTATGTGCAACATCGTTAGGAATTTATTAAAAAATTAAAAAAATTTTTTTACTTATAAGTAAATGTTGTGGAATGTTGTAATGGTGCGAAAATCGAAATTCCTCGATCACAGCAGTGAAGTTTGAAGTATAGCCGGTGGCACGCGTGTCCTCACGGACAAACGACGACGTGTCGTCGAGCGTTTAGTAGTCACGCGTCGGAATCGGGAAGCCGGAAATGACAGTGGCTGGAATCCGAGGTGGCAGACGGTATAACGTATCGAGAGCCGAAGGAATGAAAGGAAGGGGGGAGGGGGACCACGGGGGGGTATCGCCATAAGGGAGACTCGCTGACGGCGGTAAGATTGATTGGAGTCACGGGATGGAAAATTAACGGTCTAGCCCGGGTGGTCCAGGGTTGGGCCAAAAGGTGCAGGAAGGCGCCGCAGTCGAGGGATGGCGCCGTGACAGTCGCCGCATACTAATTCCCTGCCACCCCTTTCTCTCTCTCTCTCTCTCTTTCTCTCCCTTTTCCATCCCCTTATCTCCCCTTAGCTCTACGAGCTGTTTTAGCTACCCTTAACCGCGCACATCCACGCCCTCGGATGGACGACCATGCTTTCGCGAGGAAATGCCTTTCCGACGAGCACCATTGGCTACTGTGTATCGAGAGATCACCGTTTAGAAATACGGTCCCGGTGAACACAAAGGCGAGGGCAGCCTTGATAGAATTATAACTACGTTACCGAACATACCGCGGCGCTTTTGATCGTTAAGGAGTCTATTTACTCAGAAACTCTCTCCCTCTCTCTACGAAATGCGAAACTCGTCGTAAAAGGATTTTTCTTATGAAGGACCTGTCGTCGGACCTGTCAAACGAGAAAGAGAGAGTTGTTTCGCATATGACTCGTCCCCAATCGACTCCCTTTGTCACGTACGGGGAGACTCCATTCCATAATCACTGGGTCGGTAATCCCGCGGGATATCAAGGCGGATCGTCGCAACATCCGCCTTGAGACTCACCTGACTAACGCCAGGTTAATGGATCGATGCGTTAATGTGACGGATCGTACGTCGGTAATTATCAAAGAGGACTTTGACTCCGTTTGTGTGAGGTGCACCCCCGGCGAAGTGTGTTTAATGCGAATTTGTGTGTTTGTATGTGTGTAAACATATATTTCGGCCTTATCGTTAATTGGATCAAACGGTCGAGCGTCTTGGATCGATACGTTAGTATAAGGGATTTCGTCACGAGTAATTACAATAGACGTGTAGCGGCGGTCGCTGACAAAGGCACCTCGTTGGCCTATTGTCTCCCGCGGAATTGGGTTACGCGATCGTAACCCAACGAAGGGCTGGCAATTTCCTGCTTGTCGCGCCGCGCCGAGCAGATTCGATGACGCTTACGGCAAATTATTTCCTACGCCGATCTGTCGTCGATTTAGTTAATGATCGCGGTCCGACCGCAATAATGGCGGCGATTGGTGGGCGCAATCCTAACACGGCGATTTTCAGTTCAAACCCCCACGCGTAATTTAATCATTACCATGAGCGTCTACAGAGAGTGTTTGCCCTCCTTGAAATCGGTGAAAGAATTAAGCACATTTGCTCTCCTTTCGAAAACACTGGAATTTATTTGCATATTTAATATGACAGAAAGAAAATTTAAGAAAATTAGGAAATAATAAAAAATTCTTTGGGGTCGATTCAATACTTATATATTCTTTCACGATAAAGATATATCGGAAAGCACGTTAATTTTTGATAAAACGTTATTATATCGGGAAAATGTTTGGCGAAAATAGTTACAAAAATAGAAAATAGAGAATAATATTCTTTTCGCTAAATTTGTCTCAAGCTTTTATTAGAAATTAATTTACGAAAGTAAAAACAGGTAAGCTGTAGTCATCCCCACGATATTTTTATCAAAAGAAAACTATCCTTAAATTGATTAAAAATATTATATACTTGAGGAGACATTCCAATTTCATATATTGTAAACTTTATGATTTTGCCTCTTTTTTTATTCAAAAATGCCATCGTTGCAATTATCTAAAATGTGCTTTTCTTACCTGAATTAATCTCTCTTTGATACCTTAAATTTATTACACGGTATACCCGACATTCATGCAAATGGAGTTATTGATTTCCCGTTTGTATGTAATTCATACTATGTTAGGATGCGCTGACAATTACTCGCGCAATGAATAACATTTACGCTAAACAATATTTGAACATCTTGCGTACATCTCCATCTGTAATCGCAGAAGGAGAAATTGGATGGCAGGCAGATGAGCCCGTGGGAAAGGGAGAAACGGAGCGTTAGTGACGTACCGATGAAAAGGGATGATGCTATTAGACTAATTAAGGCGTCTTAAGATTTTAATGAATTCTCCTTGCTCGCTAGCGATGATAAGTCAAATTGGTACATGTAAATGTTCGAGAGGTATGAATTTTCAACAAACAAAATTGCGATTTTTGCATCTTTTACGATCCGTTATATGATTTATGTGCTCCAGTTGTATTTACGAAGTTATTGTCGAGTACAAAAATATTTTCGCGCAAAAGTGTTCTTCCCTGATATAATGAAATTTTCGTTATAATTTAACGATAACTATTATTAATTGACGGTTATAAATGATGTGTATCGAGGAATCTTCAATTTAAATCCGGATCAAATGACACAATTGATTTTCCCAATATATATATATTTCGAGATTTCGGTGAAATCACACGTTCATATTTAATCGAGTATAATGAGAGAGTTGATTCGTCGCCGTCACGTTAACTGGTTCAATCATCAATCAGCCCGACGAAGCTAAATGGTCAGGACAACGGGTTTTAATATCTCCCGAGGAAAATAAAAGTTAGTGCGATAAATCAAAGGTGAAAAGTCGCTGCCTTACTTTCTCTCTCTCTCTCTCTCTCTCTCTCTCTCTGTCTCTGTCTCACTCTCACCTAGCGTCTCCTTTTCTTTTCCCTCTTTCATCTTCCTCTCCTCTGCCTCCCTCTTCTCGCTCTCTCACTTTCTTCTGCTATCTCGCTTTTTTCCTCATTGCGTTCTCAGCTTTAATCTTTCTGCCTTCCATCGGTGACTTGCAAAAGTGATAAATGAATTTTACCCACCGCGCGTGCCATATTTATATCTATAAAACTGGATAATATTCCCTCGTAATAACCATGATGACGCGCGCACGATGACAATTTCCAACAAATGTAATTTGTTCGTTCGTATAGTATATCGAAGTATTGATTTTCACTTGCGCGCGTGGGAGTGCATCAGAGGCAGTAATAATCGCGAATTTAACGCGATTTCTTCTTCCGATTTTCCACGATGAAACTATTATTAATTCCAGCTCCGCGTCCGTGTACAGAGATAAATGTCGCGAGATAAAGCCGCACGGGGGGCTTCATGCTGCGTTGTTCTAATTTTTGCGGCAAACATCGTAGCCGCGAGCGAGTGAAACCGGGTTGAAAGTCATTTAGGTATTATCTTACAGAAAAGACGGCGGCTACATATTTGCGTTACGTTCGCGTGTGTAAACACGTCTGCCGAGGCGCATACTTTGTCATCCCTATCCTATTTACCTTGGGGAGAAACGCATCTTCCCGCAGTATGCATCGCGTGCCACTTCTCACCACCCTCTGTCGACGTGGTAATCGCTCAGATACGCTCGTAACAAATAGCAATGACCTCGTTCGATGCGCGTCTATTTTATCGCACGTCTGCTTAAAATTTTAGCAACAGACATCGCTAAAATCACGTCTCGAACGCAAATAATCATTTCTAAATTCAGCCACAAATGGATGATAATTATAGTTTAGTCCGTATAGAATTAATAATACAGACTCTACAATTCCAGAGTTTTCAAAAGACTTTTCAGACAATACCAAGTCCAAAATTGGCGCATAAGATATGTTTTAAGATTTCTTAAAGCTGTCTTAATGATTTCTTAATGATATATTATGCGTCAGTTTTAGACTTGGTGCTGTCTGGATTGATTCCAAATTTTGAGAAAGACTTGAATTGAAATTAAAATTGTAATATAGGTTATTTTAACGTATCTTTATCTGTTACAACTGCGACATATATTGGTTTTCATTTTATTCAAAACTAAATACAAAGTTGCAACTTTTCGATTAAATATTAAGTCTATTGTGAGAAAGTTATAAATTCATATAATCATGCACAGTCTATTAACATATATCGAACATTTCTTATCTAAAATTATATATTTTGATTTAAGAATTCTTCCGGTCGGCAAATAGATGTCAAAACAAACTCAAAATAACTAAATCAATCTTCTAAATATCACAATTAAAATTTTCTCAAACTTCTTTGTATATGGAGCATAAAAAACTATAATTATTATCCATACATTTTCTTTGTTGTATATATAATAAAAAGGTAATGGTCTATATATATAAAATTACACAGTCTATTTTTTGTGCACTTTTGCAATATTTGTAATATAAGCTATTCAATTTTATGAATAATATTGAATTTATGATTCATGTTGGTATTTATAGTATATTAAGGCACACAATATATTTTCGCCAATTTGATACTTAATTTTTCTAGCTTTGTGTTTTATACATTTTGTTTATTGTTTCAATGGATAATATATTTCAACGTTACTTGAAAAGAACCTATTTATTTTCTGCATCACTCAAAAATTTATTTAAAAATTAAAAATTAAAGAAAACTTACATTAATAGAGAGAAAAATATCGCAAACTAGATTAAACATATATTTAATTCAATCTTAAATGTAAGTTTAATCTAGTCCATTTATTTTATCTATCTACAATCTACAACTATAATCTACAAATCCGTTACCTTAAAATTAAATAAAAGTTTATCTCACTCACCAATGCGCAATAGCGGAGTAATTGATGTTCAAGTTATACGTTTTCTCTGTAACATACAAATATAAAATCCAAATTACAGCAACGTTTAAATTAATTATTATTTCAAAAAATTATTATTGAAAGTGGCGCACTTTATATTTGGCGTATAAAAATAATAAACTCACCTTAGGGTTGCTTCGTCAGTGCCCGATGCCTCTCCTAGGCCTTCTTCTCCTCTCAAATTGTCAGGGTCGTAAGTTCGTTGACTACGCACGACACTTTTAACGGCACTCTCGCACTTACGCGCGATACTTTAACGGCACTCCCGCACTCGTATGCGCGACATTAATGGCACTTCAAGTTATACGTAGTCTCTGTAACATACAAATATAAAATCCAAATTACAGCAGCGTTTAAATTAATTATTATTTCAAAAAATTATTATTGAATGTGGCGCACTTTATATTTGGCGCATAAAAATAATAAACTCACCTTAGGGTTGCTTCGTCAGTGCCCGATGCCTCTCCTAGGCCTTCTTCTCCTCTCAAATTGTCAGGGTCGTAAGTTCGTTGACTACGCACGACACTTTTAACGGCACTCTCGCACTTACGCGCGATATTTTAACGGCACTCCCGCACTCGTATGCGCGACATTAATGGCACTCCCGAATTTTATACGTAGTCTCTGTAATATACAAATATAAAATCCAAATTACAGCAGCGTTCAAATTAATTATTATTTCAAAAAATTATTATTGAATGCGGCGCACTTTATATTTGGCGCATAAAAATAGTAAACTCACCTTAGGGTTGCTCCGTCGGTGCCCGATGCCTCTCCTAGGCCTCCTTCTCCTCTCAAATTATCAGGGTCGTAAGTTTGTTGACTACGCATGGCACTTTTAACGGCACTCCCGCACTTACGCGCGATACTTTAACGGCACTCTCGAATTGTATACGTAGTCTCTGTAACATACAAATATAAAATCTAAATTATAGCACCGTTTAAATTAATCACTATTTTAAAAAATTATTATTGGACGCACCGAACTTTATATTTGATGCATAACAATAATAAACTGTATATAAATATATAATAAAATAACTTTATAAATAAAAAAAAGTTTTCTTAAGTAGAAACTTTTATAGGTTTGTATAAATATTTATAATCTCTAAGTTTCTCTTGTTTAAATTTTACGCAAATTTTACGCGTGGTCCATTTCAAAAAATAGTATTTCAAAAATTATTATTGGACAGAAAGATCTAAGTTATTCACCAGTGAAAGATTTTTTCAAATCGATTCAGTAGTTTTTGAGAATAAATTTGACACCTTTATCTCTTTATATATTAGTGGTATAAATAAAAGATAGGTTCTAATGTTTATATCATCGAAAAGCCGCAGCTACAAAAGTGTCCTGATTTTATTCACTCTATCTTTTTTCATCTCGTACGATCTTATTCACCGATGTTTAGCAAAGATGTTATAGCTGTCCGTACACGGACAGTCACAGCTAGTTGTAAATTCGGTCAATGACGTTTTCGCCAAGGACAAACGAAATTACGGATAATTATTCAGGTACATACCTCCGAATAAGTTACACGGAAGCGCGAATAACCGGACGGAAGGGGAAAAGGCGTGTAGTACGTACCGGGAGAGTAAAATATGATGTAGAGTTTGGCCGGCTTGGCCGGCGCCACAGCGGCTAATACGTTCTAGGGGAGAAGTTAGTAACAGGTGGCGCGATCCATAACAGCGCGGGGTGCGAAATTTGCCCAATGTAGGAGGGGTTGCATGTAAATATATGGATATAATATTTTTTAATTTTATATATTAATTTCGTGACTATTGCGTGTGTGTAATTTTTCGAATTCTTTCAAAGAGTTCGAAAGTTCGAAAACAATAGTTGTGTATATATCTCTTAAATATTTTTTTATTAAACCTGTATTAAAAAACATATATGAAAAAAATGTTTCAAACAAATTAATAACACATGAAACAAAATGAAATATGATTCGTGGCAGTTGATTGAAATGTACGATGAAGATTTGAAAGAGTAAATCTCTCTAAAATATACTGAAACTAATTATGTTTTTTTTTCCCCCAGAATAATTGTAAGAAAAAGAATGATAAATGAAGAAGGGCTTTTCTTTTGTATAAACCGCTTTCGGGAAAGAATGTACAAATATTTCGCCAAGAGATTCTAACAATTAATTTTGCGCCAAGTATACGCGACATCAATGCTTCGTATTAAAGAGGAAAACTTGTTTTGTTGCAGTGTCCGCACCGCCTAGCACCAGTCCTAGTCCGTCTACCACGGAGATCGCCAAGAAAGGTAAGACGTTGAACAAAATTTTGTCATAAAATTAATGATAATTGAATATAATAAATTGTAGCAAAATTCATGCCGTAAAATTTTCAACGGTACCATATAATATACAATCGATATTATTCACAACGTACTCTCGGTCGCTTGAATTCAATTTTCCAACGCGTACGTTTACTCTTGCAGATTGGGATTTCATAGCGGAGATGAATAACTCTGTTTACGGAAATCCGAGTTCGCTGACGATTCATAATGAGAAGAATATCAAGACAGGTGAGTACTCTTGGAGAAAAAAAAAGAGAAAAAGAGAGAGAGAGATATATATTTCTTTTTTTCCTTTTACATGCGTTCAACGTACGTACATATACATATTCCGTAATTTCGCGAATTACAAAATTGACTATATGCAATTTTGCATTTCAACGAAGTAATGCAGTCGTCGCGCAATATGCGAAGAGTAACAAGCACTTGAAATATATATTTGGAAAAAGTATTCTCTTCGGTCTTGATCTCTGTTCGAAGAGCGCATCAATCACTCGGATCTTTCTCTCTTTCTCTCTCTCTCTCTCATATACTTTCTTTCAAAGAACACGTTTTAAAAAAGAAGAAACAAAGGTAACGAGACACAGAACAGAATTTAGAACTGACGTAATGTCGGAAGTGATGAAAGAAAAAGTCTATTAAATAGAATATCATCTTATGTGAAAACTGCACGGGAATATCAATACAAATTGAAATGTCAATAACCCATCGAATTTGTTTGTTTTAACTCGTGCATATTTGATGTCTTGACGTATCATTAGTATTGTTGACGTTAAAAATATTCTTCGTGAATACAAGAGAGCAAGAATTCAAATGTTTCATCGGTATATTCCTATATATAGCCTGCTAAAATCTCAACCTAGATAGAGAATTTATATATTCAATCCAACATCACGTGCAGCTAAATGGCACATTTCATAACTAGATTTTAGACAGTAACATACTTTGAATCTCCGGTGCTATTAACTTCGATGTTAACTGGAGCCGGAGGATGCACCAGGGAATCCCGGGAATCGATTGCGGCTATAAGGGTGGTTTGAAAAAGAGCAAGCAGATCATTCTTTAAAAAAGGAGAGAGAGAGCAATGAGAATAAAGTCTACAGCAAAATAAAATTTCGAAAACAAATATCTCTTTCGTTATGTAAAACTGTTGTATTATTGCAAACAGAAATAGTAACGTTTTGAATGAGCATCGGATATAACCTCGATATCGATAATCTTTAATGGGAGCATAAAAAGATCCGACATCAATTGAAAGCTGAAACGTAATAATTTGAAAAAAGAACACAGATACTGCGCTAACTTTAAATTCTTAACATTTGTTTAGGAAATCAAAACACACCGCGATTATCCAAAAAAGCTCTGGTTAAAGCGAAAGAATAAACATAAAAGGGATAAAACAACAAATAAGGAAGGGGTAGAAAAAGAGGTAACTGAAGTGATGTTCGTAATAGGAACACGCGAGTGGTGGTTGCGCGAAAAGAGCGGAAAGGATAGATGGCTGGAAAGAAAAGGAGAGAGAGAGAGAGACCTGGGTTGACTGGGGTAGAAGAGATCCCTGTAACATCAATATTTCATGTATGCTAACACGCCGGAACTAATAATGCTCCAACGTGGAAGACCCAAGAATAATATCAGCCGCCACTGTGTAGTCCGCGTTCTCAACGTCCCTTATCCTCGCCTTTCCCTTCCCTCCATTTCTTTCTTTGTCTCCCTCACTTTGCCTCCATCGCCTAAAACAGCAGCGCTGCTAGCCTCCTTTTGCCGCCTTGCCGTGTTAAATTTAATCGAAAATTCGTGTCTCGTTGCTGGGGCCGTCTCCGTGTCTCTGCCATGTCCGCCTTCCTTGCCACCACGTATAACCCGATGTCATCGTCCGCAGAGACAGGATGGGGCGAAGAAAGGTGAGAGCGAAAAGATGAAACGTTGAGAGAGAGGCGAGACGAAGTAGCGAACGGAATGTGGTAAGTTTGAATACGGCATATGTCTCCTTCTCTCTCTCTCTCTCTCTATTTGCGGAGAAGAGGAAGGAAAGGACGGGCTGTGAAGAAAGGATGAGGTTTGTAATTGGTGCAACATCTGCGGTCTGCAAGGTGGCATTAATGTTTGCTCCCTTCGCGTTCTCTCTCTTTCTCTCCTCCTTTCCACCCCAATGCCGCCGACTCTGAGAATCCCTCTTTCCCTTATCGTGTCGCTTCTCTTTTTCTCCTCTCTTCTTTTATCTTCTGGTTACATTTAACCGAGTCCGCTTTCATTTCTCCCTCCCAAGCTCTCTTGTTTTCTTAAGCACTTTATTTTTATGTCATCTTCTTTCCTTAACATATCTGTTTGACTTATATTCTCTTTTGGTTCCGCCAGTATCTCTTTTTATATCCATACTACGCTTGTTACGCGATTTCGCTAACAGCTTCCTCTTATTTCTCACAGAGAGTAGATTTTTTTCCCCCTCTACATAATTTATTTCATTTCTTTTATCACCCTTCGTTTTTTGCGAATGCGTTCTTCAAACAATCCGGCGGTCGGCGTTCTTTTCCTTACCTATATTTGCCGTCGTCGTCGTCGCTTCTCTCGTTATTTGTATCGTTGAAAATTAAAGGGCACAAGTGTACACTTAAGATTAAACAGAAGATTTGCTCGCGGGTTTCCTTCCGCGCGGAAGGAAACCCAAGCATAAACAGCCCCTTATTTGCTCGTAGTGACTTGCGACAATCCGTCGTTGAGAATACCTAAACATAGCGCGCACTGCATCTTAACTTTCCGTATAAGACGGTATAATGCTATTCATGTGACGCGGCACAAGAAGGTACGTTTGCTTATAAAATGTTACAAAATGTGATGCAGCGTACGACATCAAAATATAAGAAAGATATTTACAATTTTCGCGCAAGATGCGCCTCTGGCACATCGAGAGAGAGTTAAAAGGTATTTAAAAAATATTTTTCTTTCGCAACGAAGTATGAAGCGCGCGGAAAAAAATATTTCTGTAAAATTACATGATTGAGCTGAGTTTCTTTTCGACCCGGCATAATTATGCGATATTGCTACTCATATATGGAAGATCACAGATCATATGTAATGTTTCATATGAAATATTGCACTGAATATGGAATTACGCATAGGAAATGCTATAAATAAAATGGATATAAATGTTTATAAAATAAAGTATTCTAATAAAGTAAAAATATTAAAACAAGTAAAATTGCATAAAAATAGTAACTTTACGTATGTTTTTCCATTAATCTGTATTTTCACTTTAAAAAATATGAAAAAAAAATTACAGTGATAATGAAGTAACTTTTCCAGTTTTTTAATTTCGATATAAAAGTACATGAATTTTTTTCAGTGCAGCTAGATCGCACGCAAATTGCAACAAATTCGGTATAATCGTACCTTTTCGCGTGTACTCTCGTCTATTTTCATCTTTCTCGTTTAGTCCGCGAATTACGGCGAATTACAGAAGCGACCGTACACAGCCTACGGCGATAAGTCACTTTGAGGTTCCGATGGGAAACAGAGCAAGTATTGTCGCGGTATCGTGACATCTCCCGGAGCACATATGCCCTTAGGTGTCGCTTAATTCCCGGGGCAGCGTTACCCGGCTGTAATTCTGGGAGGGCATGTATAGCGATTGGTTTAGCCGCGTGCCTTCGTACGATTAACACGTCCCCTATTCTATCGCGAACGCGTAGTCGCATGCGTATATATATATATATAGGTACCGAGAATGAAGAAAGCGGAAAACGTAAGCGCGTAAAAAAAAGAGGGAAAAAAACACAATTCATTTTCCCGAACATTCTTTCGAATAAATAAAATTAAGTCGAATGAAGAGAGAGAGAGAGAGATTGAATTTCTTACAAATGTACATTTGACGAGTTTTATCGGAAAAGAGTTAAGCACCGCGCGATTTGATTTGAACGAATAAACGTAAGGTGAAATTTTCCTAAAGCGCGCGCGTCCGGAGCAGCGAACGCGAATATTCTTCCCTACCGAAGAATTCAGTTAAAATCCCGTTGCGTCGCGGAGGCGTGTACTCGGTGAAATTATTTATGACGTGAATCAACATCGCTAAAGAGACGCGTTAATTACGAGTACAACACGCCCTGGCAATATTGCCGCGCCGCGTGACACGGCCGTATAAGTTTGGATCTCACAGCGTGCGCGCGCGACCTTAGACCGCTGTTAATTTTCTTGGGGAACAAGTTAGCCAGCCACCCCAGCCGCACCTCCGAGGGACACAAGGTAGACTTTGTGGCTGCTCCCTCCCAATATCGGACGACATCAGCCGCGGAGAGAAACGAGAGCACATATATATATATATATAATATAATTTGTAACAGCTCTTTAAAATTAATATACATATAAAATGCAATAAAAGCTAATTAAGTTCTTTCATTAATATTTATTTGTGGAAAAAGATTTATAACATAAAATATTAGACAGAAATAAATTCGAACGTTTCGGTTGCCTTTTTCAACCTTCTTCAGCGCATCGTTTAAAATTAAAGATTAATAGAAATTAACAATCAATTATTCATAACTGTCAATATAATAAAACTATACAGAACTATATATATATATATATGTGTGTGTGTGTGTGTATACGCGTTCGGATCGTTTAATATTCACGGAATGCAGAATGCGGGCTAAATTCGCATACAGTTTCAGCGTTAAAACACGTTAAACGTCGCGTCGTGCTGACCCGCTCTTCCGAATCCACCCGAATACGTGTATACGACTGAATGACTGAACGAATACCGGCTGCCACGATCCGTTAGACGTAAAATCAATGAGAAGGGGTCACCATAAACCGTCCAACTGTAACTTTTTCGGAAAACTATTCTCTTGTTTGCCATATCTCTCTCTCTCTCTTCTCTTTCCCCGCCTCTAAAAAATTGCAAGAGCGTGAAAATATTTACCCGAATTATACTTGCGCGAGATTCCATTAATTATACTTATTGTTAGCGCATCGAACTTTTCGAATGAAATTATTTTGAACCGCGTACTTTCGTATAAATACAAGTACAAATATTTTGTCCTATATTAAATTGTGCGCACAAACGTATATCAAATACAACACCTTTCAACACCTCGTCAATACACAGTGAATTATGCCTGATACAGAAATATTATATACCGATGTATCGAGGGATTAAATTCTTACAGGGATTAAACTCGCGCGCATTTTTTTTTATTTCTTTTTATTTTAGATATATTTCAAAGACCGTGCTTTGAAAAAAGAGGGGATAGTACAGATGGGCGTAATGATACACCGGTGAATGTTACATCGCAGTTTTATATGCGACACGCGAATTCAGGTCAGAGCGTCTGAAAGCGTTTATCAATATTTTTTATCTTTTCCTACTAAAGCGCGCTTCGTGTACAAAAGCATCAGAGATTCCCGTATTAATTTAATGTATAGCTCACGGCGTTCAATAGTACGCATTGATTACGTTCTAAATAACTACAATATATAGAATTACATAAATACATTTATTTTTCTGGGATATTCAATTTAATGACGCTGAACGTTTTTAATTTTATCGAGGAACCAGCAACGTGTGTAAAATTCAGACGCGAGTTTTTCGTTGATATTTATGTTTTTATGCTAACTGCATATTTTGATAAAGGAAGAAACATATTAAACTTGACGCGTGCTTTTTAAACTGATGTGCATATATTCCTCCTTTATTTCTCAGCAAGCTAAAGCTACGCTCTACCAGGACTTTAATATGAACTTGCTCCGCTTATTGAGTTTCCTCATCAGAAGCCTACAGCTTGTATACATTCATGCCTCGTTTATATGCTAAATCGGTTTGTATCGAGAGTTATTCAAGTTTGAAATTTTTTTTTCGTGACTTTCTTAGCGGCGAATCATATAATCCAAAGTGGTAACATCTTTCTCGATAATTTATTACATTGATCTACATGTGAATTTCTATATTTTTTGTGTTTGTTTTCATCTTTTTTTATCATATATTTATAATTTTTAATAAGTATCGTGATTTTGAGGACCTGTTTCTTCGATTTTCTTTTATTTTTTGAAGAGAGGTTATTTAAAAACACATTCTCAATCTCTAACAAATATTTATAATGAATTTTGTATATTAAAAATAGTATATATTTATATTAAATTTTGTCATATTAAACGTTCAGTTTCAAAGGTTGGAGGTAAAAAACAGAATGCCATATCGATTCTAATATTTATTCCTTTTTTCTCGCTTTCAAATTTACCAGCACAATCGTCCTCTAGACTATTTTGTTATATAGGGTGTTTCATAAGAAATTACTGAAATTAATCAGCTGTTATTTTTTAATGCATGCAGTTATTGAGAAAATAAAAATTGTGTTAGAAAGAGGAAAATGTGCAGTTTTCAATGAATATAAATAAAATGTTTGTATACCAATTTATTTTATTGATAAAATGTAATGAAAAAGTATAAATAATCACACGAAATCACATAAACTAATGATAAATATTTTCAACAGTGCCAGATTTAATAGCAGCTATTAAAAGGATCGTCAACAACATTAAAAATAACATGTTAGAAAAAGTTTTTACGAGTTTTCGTAAAAGAACAGAATTTTGTACAAATTCAAATGGTGCGAACTTGGAAAATATTTATCATTAGCTTACATATATTTGATTACTAATACTTTTTTTATTACTTGTTTCAATAAAATAAACTGATATACAAACATTTTATTTATATCCATGAAAAACTGCAGACTTGCCTCTTTCTAACGCAATTTTTCTTTTCTCTATAACTGCATGCATTAAAAAATGACAGCTGATTAGTTTCTGTAATTTTGTATGGGATATCCGGTATAAAAAAAAATAACGAATATTATTATACAGAAAACTCTCCCTCTCTGTCTCATAAGCTCCTGCGTTCTCGCAGCTATATATACGTCTGGTTATACATATATCGGTTGCTATATACGGCTCTCTAAATACGTCGTCGTGAGATTCTAAATTTATTTTCATCTGTTTTATCATATATCTATAATTTTTAATGAGTATCGCGATTTTAAAGACTGGTTTTTTTCAATTTTTTAATAGAGAGAGAGAGATTATTTGTTTAAAAATATTATATATTCTGAATCTCTAATAAATATTTATATAAATTTTGAATATTAATTATGGCATATATTTATACTAAATTTTGTCATATTAAACGTTCAGTTTCCGAGGCTAAAAGTAATATTTCTTCCTATTCTCTCGCTTTCATTGTTACTATATTTCGTTAAATAAAAAAAATCGAGAATTATTAACACAGAACTCTTCCTCTCCGTCTCATAAGCTCCTGCACTCTTGTAGCTACATATACACGTCTGGTTATACACATATACGGCTCCCTAAATACGTCGTCGCCCACGCATAGCTGCAGAAACAGCCGGCCGCGTCGCGATAGAGATTGTCGCATATAGGAAACTATAGAACTGCTCCTTCCTCCAGCCGAAAGCCACCCCCACCCTCTCCCTCGTTGGGGGCAGCATGATACGTATAGCGCATGATACACACTGTCACTGCTAATGTTTGGCCGAGATTTGCATACGTCTGTCTAGTCCTATCCATTGCGTCGCCGGTACAACGGTGTTTCACCTCGTTGTCCGAGGGTGTATCCGGCCGTGGTAGCGACCTTACGTACTATCAGCTACCCGGTATTATGTGCACAAACACACGTGCGCGCACACACACACACATACCCACGACGACGCAAGCGCCGTACACCGTCATGATCGCCCATTACCTTGCCCGAAATAGGCTATCGTGCCAAGATCGTGTTCACCGACCTCCTCGCCTTGCCTAAACTGGCTCGCATCGCTCTGCCTCGGGGGCCGTGAACTTACAAATCTAATCAGGGGGAAGGGAAAGGGAGCGAACGAAGACACAAAGCGATATTCACGAGCAGCTTTGCACCGCGGGTAACTCGAAATTAAGCCGTAAGCGCAGGTTGCGCCAGGGTCCTGCTATCTCCTGTTCCTCGTGTTAGATGTCTGTCGGTTGGAACTTTAGTCAATTTACTGAGAACACACGCAGACGCACACGCGTGGCAGAAAAGTCGTAGAAATGGATATATCATAACGATCGGTTTTATAATATTAGGACGGGAGATATTTTGGATATGTATCTAGCGATGTGAATGTACTTGAAACAAAATCGTAAAATGACGACGATTCATAGTGATTGACGATAATCTATATTTATTATTTTGTAATATTATAATAGAATAATTTAAAAAATTATCTCTATTTATAATTATTATTTTTTCTCATAATAGTATATTGTGTATCAAGTGCGGAAAGTTGACAATTGGACACGAGTGAACAATTGTCAATTCGCACGTGATACACATACTATTTTGTATTACAAGTGCAGGCAAAATGGGTTTCGCCATCTTGCGACGGCACGGTGCGGGAATAGCCGCGTTCAAAGTCATTGTCCACGGTTTCAGCCGTGGACAATGACTTTGAACGCGACTCAACCGTAGGCAATGGCTTTGAATACGGCTTATTCACTCACCGCGTTGCCGCTAGATGACGGCGTGGGAAATCGGCCGCTTTCCGCACAGAAAACACGCACACAAAGTGCCACTTTGCCTGCACGTGTAATATAAAATATATTTGGGGAAATAAATATACTAGAATAATCAAATAAAAGACATATCAACTGTTTAAAAAGTGAAAGTAGCAAAATAAATATATATTTATATAATATTTATATATCATATTTATGTAAATATATAATAACATATATTAAATCAATAACATATTTAAATCAATTATTTGTTTAAATCTTGCAACGCTTATTTATTCATGTCTCTCTCTCTCTCTCTCTCTCTCTCTCTCTCTCTCTCTCTCTCTCTCTCTCTCTCCCAGTCCGCGGTAACGTGTAACACATGACAAAGACATGTAATCTATATATATGTAAAATTTGACTGTGTAATTTTATCAAAATAATACACGAATTCTGTTTTGTTACAAGAATGTAATCCCCCCTACTTTCCCCCGGTGGGCTCGCGACACAAGCGTGTGACATGGATAGAATCTACTTGCGCGGAATAAGGGAATTGTGTTTACTCGGAGTTTGCATACTAGTTAACGCGTTTGCCACCCACTTTATGCGTAACAGGCTCGTAAACATCTTCAGTCAAGAGGACCACTCGTCGCGTATCCCTTTGTCCGTGGCTTGTTCCACTGGCTATAGGAATCAGAGAATCTCCTTTTGCCCCTTCTGTTTTCTCTCTCTCTCTCTCTCTTTCTCTTATTGTTAGATCTCGTCTCGACTTTGCGCTACCCTGTCTCGAGGCGAGATTCGATTTTTCATTCATTTCGGTAACATCCGGGAAACACAAATCGCGTATTAACGCGCATAAATAAAATTGCCAATAAGGTATTTTTATCGAGACTCTACTCTTGTATCTCGTGTCTCGTTACGCCGACATAGTTCTCACACAATCATATCTTTTTATATCGATAATATTTCTCATCGTTCGTTTACTTTTTTTTTCTCAAGGTACCAAGTTCCAGTCGAACCTTAACGAAATCGGAAGATCGGAGCAAAAGTCGACCGAGCTGGATAGGAAAAGAAATTACAACTGGCCTCCTGATAAGGGTAAGTTTGACATTTATCTACTTTTCGTATAATAAACTTGATAAATTCTCCAAAGGGGGATCATATTCGCACAATAGTACCTTTTCCTTTTTAATGCCAATAACATTCTTTGAAGAGCATCGTTATAAAAAAAATATTCTAATATTACAACGCGCATAAAAAAAAAATTTTATTCGACGCGACTAATTAAATTAAGCATTTGCTCTTTCCTTTTGAATAAACACTAAAATTTATTTGCATATTTAATATAAAAAAAAAATGAAAATAAAACAAAAATAAATTTTAACAAAAATTAAGAAAAATGAAAAAGCAAAAATTAATTAATGCCTCCACCTGGAAAAAATCCTACGCCCATAGATGAGAGGAGAGTTGATCGGCGATTGAAATCCAGCTCTCGTGGAGAGACGAACGAGAGGAGACAAAACGCGACAAGTTTTCCTGCCGGAAGGTGTGCGCGGTTTATCTGGCATTTCGCGGCTCCGCCACGGCATTTAACCGGCTGCGTTTCCACCGGGTTTCCGAGGGTGGATCCCCCCCTCCCGCCCTTTCCACCCCCCCCCCCCCTTCGGGCCAGGTGTAGCACCTTTCATAATTCCGCCGAGCCTTCGGCATTATCGGATAATTCTTTGCTACGCTCGCATTTTTTTCCACCCCCTTTTCCCATCCGTCTTCTCTTCTTCCCGCCCCTGCCTTCTTCGGTAATTCAACCCCCGTTCGTTCCTTCCCTCCCCTTACCGGTCTCTCAATATCTCGCTCGACCGCGGTTACTTTTAAAAAGAATTTACATAATGGCGTAATGTGAAAATCCGGGGACGATCGCGATAGTCTCGCGGAAGTAGGTAATTTTGCATGGGGAAAGAAAAGGGGGTTGAAACCGTAACGAGGAAAACTGCGTCGCAAACCGTCGCGTGTAAGCATCTTCGCAAATGAAGAGAGACTGGTGCGAGAAACTAACTGTGGAAACTAAATGTTGCGTGCACGCGAGAGAACCCCGAAAAATGTTGTTCCGAAATAAAATGTCAGACAGCTAACAAGGACTCTACTCGACGAGAGGAACTTGTTCTTAATTCTGTTCTCGAAAAGTCGCAATACTAAAATTGATGTTCGCACAATATTGTGCGGTGAATTCGATATATATATATTCGATACTAGAGAAAAGTACGAGAGAGAAAATTTTACAGTATAAATTAAATAAAATATATCATATATCTCTTTTGCAGGATTTATTGTGAAACTGGAACGTGACGACATTAAGATATTTATTATTATAAAATGTTTTAATTATGCATTTTATTTGTATTAACGATTGTGCATTAAAATATTGAAATAATTACAATGTATTGCTTTCTAAAAATATATTACGTATATAATATTACTGAATACAAATATCGTGATATATGTTTTTCATATTTTAGTACGTTTCACGATTATCAAAAATTATATTAATGTAATTTTGATCATAATATTTTCTCAGTGTTCACATGTCACGCACATCATATATCACTTTCTCATTATGTCGAATAATATTTATATACAAGGTGTCCGGTAACTAACGGACCAACGATTTCACAAATGGATTCTTTGGTTAATTTGGGAACGACTTTTCCTCAGCGAAAATGTCGAAAAAGGTCATCATTTTTTACAACTTTCCAATATTTGTCATTATGTATCTTTATAACCAAGCCTCAAATTAAAATTTTATTATAGTAAAATCTACCTGAAATTAACTGAAGAATGTAATTATGTTAGACTTTTAAAACCCATTTTTTTCAATCGCTTATAACTCGAAAATTATTGACTTCTCAACATTTTTGCTAAGGAAACATCGTCTCCAAATTGGCCAGAGAATCCGCCCTTAATCATTGGTCCGTTAGTTACCGGACACCCTGTATACGCACACACATATATATAGGTCTGTTCGTTTTGGCTACACTGGCTACACTAATTCAGAGGTTATCTTTTTTCTTCCAATGTCAAGCAAAAAAGACAATCTCTGAACTAGTGTGACCAGTGTAGCCAAAACGAACAGACCTAATATATATAATATAAACATGTCACTTTCGCGTGTCGTGTGACGAAATGTAGACTCGTGAACATTAAATTTCGCAGATCTAGTCAGCAATCTAACGCCACAGAATGTCATATCCGTACTATTTTCGCGTTTCCTGCGCTCTAGTATAATGAGATATAAATATCGATCATAAATATATAAAGCGCGCGAATTCCTCTCGGAACGGAAAAGAAGGGGTCGAGAAATCGCGAACCGAAGGAAGGTAAGATCGTACAAAAGTAGCGAAGCGAAGAATTCTCTCGGGGCAGCACACAGCAGGGGTTGGATAAAAGAAAGGAGAGTCGAGGCAAGTTACTGCTTGCGCGAGCCTTTGGATGAGACTCGAGAAGACGAAGAAAGGTCCGTGGGAAGAGGGTGGATGAAAGAAGGGAACGATACGGACGGGAAGGGGGATGATCCGAGGGGGGTTGTTTCTGATTCGTAATTAGAGATGAGTGAGGCCGGGAAAAGGCCGGAGAATATATTTCTCTCCAAGCGAGTAATAGCTAACGGTACGCAGCGCAAGCCAACCGGAAGAATAACTGACTTCCCATTTTTCTTTTTTCTCTCTTCTCCCTCTGCGTCTACCCTCTGCCCCGCCAACCCCTTCTGTATCTACATCCCTCGGTCTGTCGACCATCGGCACCTTTTTCCCTCCCTCTCTTCTCTCGTTTCCCCCGTTTCTGTTTTCTCGTCCCATTCTCTCGGAGGGAAAGGGATTCTTTCGTGGCGAGCTTCGTGCAACGGGGTAACGACAGATTCTCGTCGAGGAGTCCTTGATTGTGCATTGACCTCCCGAGGCTGCCGATGGCGAGAGAGAGAGAGAGAGAGAGTCCTCCTTTCTTTTTATTCGCGTGTTGTCTCGTGGCAACGAGAGCGATATATATATATATCCTGGTGTTACAGTTTCTTTGAGGTGCCAGAATCTCTCTTCAAATATATATATAGACGCGTTTATTAAATATGCGATAAAGTGTTTAATTATTTAAAATAGAGACGGTATTAATCATAAAATTATTTCTAATTAAATTTTCCATTTGCATCGTTGCAAACATTTATTATTCTAAAACATTTAATGGAACAACGGAATATTCTTACAAACGAGAATGACCAAAATTTAAAGGTCTCGTATTTCTGCATCCCATTCTTATCGACACTCATTGAACAATATAGAAACGTCATTAAAGATATGAATGTTAAATTCTCTTTTTATAGTCTTAACGAATTGAATAAATATATTAAAGTGCATAAAGATCCTATTCCTAAGTGTTCAAATACCAATGTTATATATAAGATCGTATGTTGGTCAGACTAGTAGGAAATTATCTACTAGAATATCACTGACCATAGATTAAAACATAATCATGAATTTAGTTGGGACGATGTAGAAATACTTGACAAAGAATCACAATATAACAAAAGATTGATTTCAGAGATGATATTCATAAAAAGGCAAAATAACAGTCTTAATTTAAAAACAGATAATGATGGCTTGCCAGTAATTTATGACGATATAATACATAGGCTACTTAGAGATATGAAAGTTAAAAAACATAAACAACTAACTATTTTCTCCGTTGTGTCGTCGTCTCTCTGAGAGATAAAAAAATCATTCGTTATTGTAACTTCGAGCAATCAACATCTGAAAGCCTTCACGTCACAATATAATATCTTACTTGATTTAATTGTAAGTCTATTTTTATTAATTTACTTATCTTTCAATGTTAATTTTTCGTATACAATGATTTTAGTTTTATGCGAATAACTGTGTTTCTGTATAGTTTTATTATATTGACAGTTATGAATAATTGATTGTTAATTTCTATTAATCTTTAATTTTAAACGATGCGCTGAAGAAGGTTGAAAAAGGCAACCGAAACGTTCGAATTTATTTCTGTCTAATATTTTATGTTATAAATTTTTTTCCACGGATAAATATTAATAAAAGAACTTAATTAGCTCTCATTGCATTTTATATGTATATTAATTTTTAAAGAGCTGTTACAAATTATATTAAATTATGGGTCGAATTAAATATATCGTTCCTATTTTAAATTATATTTATTATTATATTATAAAATTGTTAATATAAATTATAATATAAATTATCATTGTATATATGTATATATATACATATATATAATATACAATCGAAATGTCATCTATTCTTGAAAATTGTTGCATTTTTCGATTTTTTTTATGTATATACATATATATTTGACAGCTGCGTAAATTGTGAATTCAAAAATGTTATTTCTACAGAAAAATTTCCAGAGTATGCTTTTGTTCTAAATAGCGAAATTTTTTGTCTAATTCCAGATTCAGCAATGGGCATGACGACGACCGTGACGCTACTACTAATTACTCTGGCCGTAACGATAATTCGATAAACAAAACCCAAGTTCTCGTCGTTTATACGCGATTGGTGTTGATTATCTCCCTAATTAAAGGACTTGGTTAAAAAAAAAATTAGAATTTAAACGATACATGAAGGACCGACACCCAACATACACACACACACACACACACACGTAATTACACACGAGTGACACAAAGACTGACCGAGGTAGTTAACGTCCGTATTAAATGACGGAGAATAAATTACGCGCGTGCCAAGTTAGTGTAGCGACAAAGTTCAAGAGTGGCCAAGAATTGAAGGAGCACGAATCCCAACACCGATCCCCCTCATTATAAGATTGCCTGTGTGCGTATGTGTATGTGTGTGTGTTTCTTTTATGTATGTATGTGTGTAAATGGACTCAGACGATATACGATGGCGATTGGCGGAGAACAACGAGAACGAAGAAGGGATGATATTAAAAAAGTGCAACGACTATCGCTTTCAGTGTGTAATATATTGTAATAACGCCGTAATCGATGACACCACAAAAACACAACCAAATACCAGGTCTGATCCCGTCTCTGCGAGTGCGATTTGGTAAACGCGTGAGAAAATGAATCGTTATATATTTTTTAACTGCATCGTGGGAGAATTTTAGTCGCGCGGTAAAAAAAAAGGAAAAAAGAAATCTCAATATTTCGGAATATCAAAACGAAACCACTCGAGCTTAAATATCGGATTAAAGTTTACTGACTGAGAACGAGAGAGCCCCACATTCCCGCCGACCGGGGATTTTCGACTATTTTTAAATTTATACTCCTTCGAAAAAAAAAAAAAAACATATATATATATATATAATATAGTTTCTTCTCTTAATAAAAATTGTCAAACTTATCGACAACGTATAGAAGATGTTCCAAGATCATTCGTCGTAATGACGCGCGTATTTGAGAGTAGAACAATCGCGCTTCGAGTTTATTTTCTATCAAGTTCTGTCCGAACTCTCTCGGTTTCGTCCGCGATGTATTCCTTAAGCATCGGCAACTTGTTGTCTTTTTTTTTTTCGGATACTAAAACGTGAGAGAAATATGGCATTGCGCGAGCGCGTATTATCTCCGGCATCGATTCTCTCCGCTTCTTCTCTCCGCGGACACACCCTTTCTGTTCTGCCAAGAGTTACATTCCGAATTCTCTCCGACTCCTCGTCGTTCGAGCCCCCTCGCATCCTTACGTAGGAAATCATGGATCCCATCTGGATACTTGAGATTAAAACGTCAGATTCGATGCGGAGGAGTTGCTCTCGCTTAAGGAGGCGGTCGAAGGAAGCTCGAGGGGTCGAGACGGAGAGGAGAAAAAAGAAAATGGAAAATTTGCGGCGGAGGAAGTGGAACGGAATGGAGATACGCTGTAACGAGGGAATCGAGTCATTGCTTTCATGCCATTTTTTTTTTTTTTTTTTTTTTTTTTTCGAGTGAATTCGATGATTATGCAAACGAGTCTCTTTTTCGTTTTGAAACAAATGATTATACGTACTGAAAAAAAATTTATCGAATTCGAATAAGTATTTATTTCAATACTGCCAAATAAATCATTTATTTGAAACTAATCATATTGATTCGAATAAATGATTGATTAGACAGTGTTTTGAAATAAATATTTATTAATTTAATAATTTTGTTCGGTGTATAGATCTTTCTTCTGTCAAAACTCGTACTTGATAAAAGAGATTCGTGTTGAAACCTTTTCTAATTAATTTATGGACAGAATTAACGAACGGATGAAAAAAATCTCTATTTCTCGTTATCAAAATTCAAATATGACACAGATGTAGATTGATTTTGTTTGTTAATTGAAGGTTATATGAAATAGGTTTCGACACATTTTATGGTACGTGGCGCGCTATCGAAGAAAAAATAATAGACATGCAAAGAGGCCAGTTTTATTATTACGATTTGCATTTCTCGTTTCTGACGTCATAATCCCAGTTAAGTGCAGCGAATGATCTCGGGCACGAAAGCATTGAAAGCTTATCTTTTATTACCTGTCTTTTATTGTATTTGCTATTTTTACGCTTACGCAAAGAAATGCTCTTCTAAGAATCGATCTGTCCTTCTAAAACGTACGTAATGAAAAAAAGCAAAAAGGGTATAATGCGCATTTCATATATTCGCGCACGTTCACGCGGGAGCATTTTCTAGTTAGGAAATCTGTCTGCGAGATTGGAGGAGAAAAATCTCGGGGAGGAGATAAAGATAAATTAGAAAGTTGCTCCGGAAAGCGCGATCGAATCCCGTTTCATCGCGCCGTTTACGTCGCGCGATCAATTTGTTTACGCGTTAATTGATCAAATTGGGATTTGTTCCGTAGACGGTCTCGCGCGCGAGAGCGGCTGCCACGTCGGTTTTAAGCGGGCTTCGAACTACTTAGGAATATCCATTATTCAGCGTACATCTTGTTTAAAGCAACAGGTTCGAGAGAGTCCCTGCACTCTGCTCGCGCAAAGGAGTTAATGCCCGCTACGGATTAAAGAAGGGAAACGGGGCTCGACTTAGGGATTACGTAGGACTTACCCTGATGAGGTCTGTAATCGTGTCATTCGCGAGACTACCTCTCGGTCTTGTAACCTTTTAAGAGTCATAAGCATGGGGAGATCGCGCTCGCAGTTTTCGCGTTTCGCGGTGCAATTTCTGCGAATCTTATCGCGAATGACTCCGAGTCCTCGAATCTGCTCAAACGCAAACTGACGATTGTCTCCCCGGACTATTTCGAAACGAAATGTTTGCGCGCGTTTACGCGCCAACGATTAACCGGCGTTAAAAGGTATTCTTCGTATGTGCATTATATAAACGGTTTGAATCAGGTGACGAGAAAATTATATGGAGATCTAGGGAAGAGTTTTAGAAGAAACAAAAATGATGGCAGAAATGTTTCATAGCCTAGATTGTGCATAACATTAATATTTAAATGCATTTTTTATATTTAGATATGTGTGTAAAAATGTTACTTGTTATCTTCTTTCAGGTAGATTCGTTTAGTTCAACCTCTTCATGATTTTTACGTCATTTGGCGAGGAAAATATATACGCAAGTACTTTGCAATCCTTTTGTAAAAGATATAATTGTACTCGATTTAGTGGCGCAGCGTGATGTCATTTATTTCGATGGATTTTGATAGGCACGGCCGATTAGAGATGATTTTTTTTTTTTTAATTCTGTTTTAATAAGTTAATCATAGAGCTGCAATACACAGGCACATATACATACATATTCGCGGGTCACTAAACGCTATACGTTTTTTAATCCCGCGCGAGACATATAAAGAGACAGAGTTTAATATTTCGCAAATAGTTTCGTCTCTCTAAAAAAAACATCAAATTCATGATTAAGCAGCAAAATAAAAATAAGTCGGTCGTGCCTAAAAAAAAAAAGACTCGACAGACATCGAATCTATCGAGAATCGATCTCTGCTCGCTCTTAACCCACATAGAGCTCGCATAGCACATATATATATGTATGTACGTGTGTATGTATACGCGTGTATGCGATTGTAATGTGCACGTTGTAAAGCAACAGTGATTTCTTGCGTGCGTAACATGCGTAATGCCATTTTCCGTTAGCAAGTTCCGTCGTACAGAAGACGCGAGGTAGTTCCTTTCCGATTCCGAATCTTGATTGAACCTTGAAAATCTTCCGCGCTATCGGAAAATTCGCGAAATTCGCAAAATCACCGGCACTCATCATCGAACTAAAAAAGGATGGGAGAATTTTAATGATAAAATAATTTTCAAAAATATTTTCAAAACATATATTAATTATAAAATAATTTTCGAAAATACCTGAAAACAAATGTCTACAGACTTATCGTTAAATTCGCGATCAGCTGACGGAAAATGGCGCGACGCGAAATATTCGAATTATCGGTCTAAGGGTGCTCGAAAAAAAAAAAAAAAAAAAAAAAAAAAAAAAAAAAAAAACGTTAAAACTCGTCTCACCGAGGCGAATCCTGTAAATATACAAGTATACAAGTGAGATAAGGATTACATACGTAGACGTAAGCTTCGCAGACTGCGGTAAATATAGTGTGTGCGGCGTGTCGCGTACGCCCATGTGACGTGTCATATGTCATTAATCCGTTTTTCCTTTTCCGTTTTTCGCAATTTTCGCTTTTCAGTTCTTTCGTACGCCGTCGTTCCCCGCACGGAGAAACTCCCCCGCGCAAAAGGGTAAAAAAAATTCTTAGCGAGTGATATTTTCACCTAATGAGTAATGTACGGATCGACGTGGAAAATTCGCCGTCTCGCAACGTCGTAAGCGCGCGACGAGACATATTAAACGCGAAGGTATATATGTATACATAACGCAAATTATAAATATGAAAATATAAATATATATATATATATATAAATATAAATATAAATATACGAATTACGGGGGACTATATTGAGTATATATATATGTTATATAATATATTACGAATATGCTTTGCGACGTTGAGTTGAATGTTGTTATTTACAAGAAAAACACATGAAGAGACGAGAAGTTCTTATGAATATTCTCGACATATGTAATAAAACAAGAGGTTACGTAAGAACTCTACACATCGCGTTTTTCTTCTCTCGTTTTCTCCGTATTCCTCTCATCTCGCCTATATATTTCAACGAAATATAAAATCCCTTACTCTCCATATGAAATAGCATGTAAGAAGAGAGATACGACTGTAAATATATACTTTTTATTTCTCAATTTACAATTCATCTCGCGATCCATTATAATTAGTAACCCAAAGAAAGAATGTATAGAAACAGATAAGATTACCGATAAAAACTCGAGATATGATATTTTCGGGGTCAAATGAAAGCTGGAGCTTCCACTGACAAATTATCAAATTCGTTTATCATTATTTGATTATTTAATCTCAGTTCTTTATCCTAATTAAACATCTAACGTCTACGCGCTTATCGGGGACTCCGAAAACGTTTCATCCCTCGACTCGCGCGATTCTGTTTGCCGCGAGTAAGCTGAATACAGACTGCGAGACAGGAAGGGAGAGCAACATTCGAAGGGGATGATGGGGGAGAAACGGGCGTTCGTAATATTTGGGCCCACGTGAATCCGCGAAGTGAGACGCTATCTACCATCGACGGATTAAATCTCCAGGCCGACTGTGTGTTTATGTGGGGGCAGACGAGAGGAAGCTGGGGATGTGGCGGAGGAATGGCACGAAAGTTCAACAACGTCGGAATATACGTCAGCATAGCGGAGATAACCGGATCGCGCGCCACGCTACGTAAGATCGAGAGGGAGTATGTGTCAACCTTTACACAATACTTCGCCCGTCTATTGTCGCTGACATTGTAAACGCGCGGGCCGCGCGATTCGCCGGTCGGCATACTAACTGCGGGATTAATTCCGCGTGCGGCGGGACCCGAAGACGGGTCGGTCGGTTGTGCGGTTTTAACGATGACGTAACACGTCACACGCCGTTTTCCCGCAGACGAGTTACTATCAGTTTATAAGCCCGTAAGCCCACCACGGCCGCGGCAAATCGCTAATTAAAACCGCGATGTTCCTCGTCCGAGAATTAGGTGGCGCCGGAAGTTTAATCGACACGGCTCGTTTATTCAGCTCTCAACGTCTATCCAAGCGTTATACACTTCAGCGAGATATATATAAGAGAAGATTTGAAAAAATATGTTTATTTCAATAGTAGAATTTGATTTTTTAATCTTAAATTTATAGAAACTTTGCGTATATTTAGCAGAGTACAAATCTGGATGTATTTATCAAAGAATCAATTTGAGCTACTATATATATGTATATAAAAAAATAAGAAAACTCTTTTGTATCGGACTTAACTGATAAAAAAATTATAATTATTTAATTTTCTTGGTTTTTTTATAAACATATAGGTATAGTAGAAATTGTTATTATAAATACTTTAATTCTAGTAAAGGATTTTCAATTCTGTATAGGCAATAAATAATTCAATGAAAGTAATATTTGTTAATAAAACAGACACATAGTCAGCATCCCCTTAACAGTCACGGAAGAATAAATACATATCTTGAGATTTGTATGAATAAAAAATTTACGAATTCCACAAGACTGCATTTACCTCCCAAAAAATTACTATTATAAAATAAACGCACATAAATTGCGGTCTAAAGAAAAATTATGGAAATAATCTTATTAATCTCTTTACTTTACGGAATAACACAATATGTATATGCAAACGTTATACATATATTATTGTTTTGGAAAATGAATAATTGTTATGATGAACGTTGCTTGCATTGTTTACAAGATATTCAGAGAGAAAGAGAGAGAGAGAGAGCATTTTAGCGATGGGGTCGAAGAGCAAGAAAAACTTCAATGAAATCTTGATGAGAGTTGCTCTGGCAAGAGTAGACACATTGCAACAGATTATGAATTAAATTCACTTTCGGACTCGCTCTTCCTCTTTCTCCAGATATCTTTTACTTCATAATAGGTACTGTCCGCCTCGCCAGGCATTTCCGTCGACCATTCATTCGTGCTTTTCTTTTCTCCAATGCCCTCTGCTCTTCTTCGTTCAGCCCTTCGCATTGTCAAGGTGTTCTTTTCCCCTCGAGAGAGAGAGAGAGAGAGAGAATCGCCGAAAAGTACTCGTGAATATTATCACGAAGTGGATAAGTTGACTTGTCAAAATTTGTTTATTAATTTTTCCCGGGGAATCTTGCATAGCGTAAATTAAATTAAGAAGTCTTTATTAAACGCAATGGAAAATTTTCGCTAATTGATTAAAAAATTAAAACTTTAATAATTAAATGAACAAGACTTGAAATTTTTTAATCGTCTTGTTAGAAAATACCGAAACGATCAAAAATTGAGGCTCGACGAGATCTTATGCGGAAGATTTAACTTTGTTCATTAATTTTTGCGATACAAAAAAAAGAAACGAGCGATAGAGATTTTTCTAATAGAAATCAACGAACGCAAAAAAAAATGTAGAAAAAGCAAAGGGAGACCGAGACGATCACAAGATGTGCACAGAATTATTGTATGTCACGTACGATGAAATAGTCGATATAATTTTCTCTCTCAACGAGAATTCGTTATCTCGATTATGGTATAGAGAAAGAAAAGTAGAACGCCCGCAAAAGTTTTAGATTTGTTATCAGAAGAAGTTAGCGCGTCGTTCCAGCTAGTCTATATTTATTCTCCGAAATGGCGCGAACAAATTATTTCTAATAATGCCGCAATTATCGCAGAGTGGACGCAAGAGTGTCTTTAATGTGGGTCGGTTTTCTTCAATGTTGTGTGGGGACAGAAGAGATATAAGAGGAAAGTGATAAAGAAATTACTTTTATCGTATTATACTATATATATATATCGTTTAAGAGCAGAGCGCAAAAATAATCGTTGTTACTAAAATTGTCTCTTGTTGATATCAGTGTATCATTTTTAAATTCAAAAAAACATAATATATAATTGACACACACACCCAAGATAACGCAAACGTGAAACAACTCTGAAAAGACACCGATTTGATCATCATGGGATGATTTCCACAATTTCCATGATCGATAGAAACATTCGGCGGATAATGACGCAAATACGAGTTACCGTGTAACTCGAAATATGACACGCAAGGCGAATCGAACGAAGAGCGGCGGCACGTATCGTGCATATTCGGCGCGAAGAATCCAGAGCCCTGTACGAGAGAGGGATGGATTCTTAGTACGAGCCGCGTGGAAGTCCGGGAATCCGCAATCCGTTTACGAATTTCGAACGGCAAGGTAATGGCTCGTGCGTAGTCGCGCGGTTAGAAATTACAATTCGAATTCCAGTGCCGTGGGCTGACGACTGGGGGTGAGTGAGAGAGGAGGGAGAAATCGAGAGGAACAGGGATGACGACGGATATTGGAGTAAGGTAGGGGATCGACTAGCTAGGAAACGCGATGGTACGAAGTGGAGGAGTAAACCCGACAGTTGACCCGCGCGCGGATATAACGGCTTTTCGACCGGCATTCTGGAATTGTAATCGCAGTTCCATTCGACATGTTCTACGCACGTCGTAGTCAACCCCTCTTTCTCCCTCCTCCCTTTCGGGCGGTTACGATCCGGTCGGATTCCATTTTAATTACTTACCCCTTCGATCAGCGTCGGTCCGTATATATATATATTCCTCGGTTGTGTCCCCGGCATCTCACGTCACATATTTCCTTCGAACGTGTTACTTCGCACTTGACGTGCTGGTGAACGGTTGCTGTGTATCACCGATGTTGCTTCCGACTCTGTGGGAAACAAGAAAAATTCACTTATTTTTTTGCGCTGAAAATATAAACGTGATCGTTCCCGTGAGTTTAATTTCTTTCGCATTCGTATGAAAATGTGTTTATATTCTATTTTAATGTTTAATCTTGAGAAGAAAGGGAATTCGATTCGAGAGAATTTTATTTACAAATTTGAAAAAAATTAAAATTTGAGAGATCTCGAAGAAATAATATTTCTCTTTGATATTTTTACTGTATAAAGATACTATACTAAAATTGTGAGAGACACTTGCCTACACTCAAAATATTGTTTATTTTCATAGTTTTGAACATTTTGACTTGGTCGTTAATTATTTCAATCATCAGATATTTTCTAATAAAAATTAATTCCAAATTGTGTTTTACATTACATAGGATCAATAAAAAATATAATGGGATCGATGAAAATTATTAAAAATTAAAAATTTAAAAATTACGATTATTTCTATTAATTTTCAGATTTGAAACGTGATAAAAAAATATTAAAAAACAATGCAGAAATTGTAATAAATTACAGAATTACAATAACAGAAATTATCATCGGCCGCGTGAATTTAATCATACATATAAAACGCTTGATAAACTGATATACTTTATTAATATTTTGCCTTCGATGCACTTGATTTTCTAATGAATGCAAACCAGTGTATCCGCTAGACGGAATAAAAATTGCAAAACTGTAATGCCGAAATAGCCACTATTTGTTTACGTGATGTAGGTTCTGTCTACGAAGCGAGAAAATGAAAAAATACTTGAAAGGAGATACACGTGTATAAAATCGCATTCATGTACAATGGCTAAAAAAAAAGAAGAAAAAACGAAAATGTAATCAAGTTCGGTCAATTTGTCAAGTTATTTCTGGCTCCATTACTTCTATCATTAGTCTATTCAAATATCTTGACAAAAAGTAGATCAACAACATATATAATATATATAATGTACACATGTGTTAATTAGTTAATTTAATACATTCGTAGAAATTCGAATAATTTATAATCAAGAGAAAAAAGTACAATTTATCCATTAAACAAGAATGCAGCTTAAGAATTCAAGCGCATATAATAAGAATATGTATTGTATATAAAATTGTCAGAATATGATTTACAATTGCCAGGAAAAAGATTTTAACTTTTCCGATTATTTAAGTATATAATCAGATAATTCATTTCAAAAGTGTAAAAATGTCATGTACTTTAAAGTAATCTTAGAATAATAGTAATTTTGTTTACTCTTGATATCAAATACGGTAAATAATGTCTCATAGCATTCGTTATCTTTATAGTTAATTGCCACAATAAGATTTGTGACTTAATGTTGTTTAGAATTTTTTGCAGTTTAAGAAATGAAATTTATACAAGTATGTTCACTTTACTCCTCTTTTCTTATAAATTTTTAGTAATTAAAGTAATACTGCATTTATATTAATTATGTAATATACACAGATACAATTTATCGCAACGTAAAGCTGACAAATTAATGACAGACTTTTCGATTATTTTGTGAAGTCTCACTTTTTTCTCCTAGTAAGAAACAAAAAATATCAAAATTAAATATTTAAATAAATAATTGTGATATGGTGGCTTCAAAAATGTCGCAGCAAATGGATTCGAATTCTTAACACTTCGATTTTCATAATACAAAATTGAAATATTTTTTAAAATTGATAAAATAAATTTAAGAAATAATTTTTATTAAGTTTGATTTCTGTCAAGATAGAAAGAGAAAATTGTATTACAAGACGAAGAAGAACCTATAGACAACAGATGTAAAAAAGATAAATATTCAAAAATTGTCAAAATTTAATCAAATAAAGATATAATCTCAATGAAAGAAATCGTTCTGATAAGAACTAAGAGATGACAGTTGTAATTTCAGCTCTAATTTTTCTAATTCTCTTTAAAATTTCGTGATATAAAAATCGAAAAGATCAAAAAAATCAAGTAAAACTGCTTCGCGAAATGTGCTTGTGTGTAAACACGCGCATATTATTTTTTCCTCGTCATATCTTTGTTCTTATCAACGACTTAATAAAATTGCATAATTAAACATTCATGTGCATATATGCGGGCTATTCGGTTTCACAAATCTTTAGATCAATATCCATTTTGTATAAATGGGGGTAGGAAAACGTTAAGTTCACATTGTAGGAATACAATCAGCCAGTTCGTTGCGATCGAATTAATAATTACATCACGACAAAGAAAAAGTATTTCAACGAAGAACACACTATCAAGAGGACTATTGAAGAATCCTGGACATTACAAAGTTTTAACATTGTAAGTAAGTATGTGAAATATAAATGGTATAACATTGTGATGATATAAGTTGCACGTATTTTATTTTTATTTTTAACGACTTTAAACTCTGACCAAAAAATCTATCGTTAAAGTATAACGCGAAAAAATATAGAACATTTTGTGCATATTATGATTATAATATAATTATGAAGAAAGAACATGTCATTTTATTTATTAAATCAAAATGATCTTCAATGTTCATGCTACATAATTAAAAACTTTTATTTTAAACAAAGAGATGAAGCTTCTTGATTAATCAAAGTTGTTATAAATATACAAGTAGAGTACATTAATTTTCCAATCACAAAATTCAGAGAATTGGATAAGATTCTCATAGAAGACATTTTCTCTTCAATATAAAGATGCCTTCAATGTAATATGAAATGATAAGATACTCCAAATTAAATTAAAAAGCTTCTAAAAGTCAAAGTTCTACAGGAAATCTTTCTAATATATGCATTTGTGTGTTTCCACTATAAAATCTCCTACCTCATCATAAAACATGTAAAAGAACCTAATAATACTTGTACAATTCTTTTAGAATTATTATCACTTCTTATATCTCGTCTCATTGCAGTCATCCGTGCAGTCACGTGTTCATTCGTTCATTCGGTATTCATATCCTCATCCGGGCATTCGCGTAGTTCATCAGTATTAAACTTAGAAAGAAAGTTGGCTACCGTGCGGTTCGCGAACCACTTTATACTTTTCCTTCGCTTTTAAACCTCTTGTACGGCAAGTTTCTCTAATGAGAAGTGATATATTTTAGATTCATTGAATTGAAGTTCGATTCTTTTTTTTTTTTTTCATTTCACGCTTAAAAAATTTTCCGAAGAACTACATATTACGTTATCGTTGCTAATAATGTCGAACATAAAAACTTTGTGCCAAACGAATTTTGTCTACAAGATTTGTATTCTCTCTTATGATTCGCATATTCCTTAAATATTCGTAATAGTAAAGGAAAAGAAAAAAAAGATGAAAAAAAAGAAAAAACAGATTGCGACTTAAAGTAGTGTTCAATATCCGCGAAAATCCTTTTCTTTTATTTTAAAAATTCGAAAAAATAATATTAAAATCTGAAAAATTCAATGACAATTATAAAAAATTACAATTTAATTAATTTCTCTTCAATTGTCGGATTATTTGAGAAGATAAATCAAGACGAATCATACATATAAGCAATTTGTGGATTATTAAAAATGCAAAGAAACAACAATCCTCCCAAATAATTATTTGTTTCATCAACGTTACCGTTGAATAAATAACGCACAGGTAACAGATGGAGATTTTCAAAATAAATTGCTCAAATACTGTAATTGCAAAATAATTGTAACAATATTTATGGATCATGCAATTATGAAAGATTGAAAATATCACGGAAAATCCGAGTACTAAGAGCGCATATATATTGTTAATTGTTATATAGATTGATTATATCACGAATATGAAACTGTTTATTTGTATTAATGATCTATACATAATATCCACTCTTTTAACAGTGTAGAATTTTCACAGTAACATAATGAATAATGTACTAATCTGACGATCAATAACGTAAACAGTTTTATAATGTACAAGAAGTTTTTAATCGCATGATTACTAATATGATGAATGAAGTGATATATCGGCAATCTTAAGCTCTATCTTCTAGTCTTCTAGTACTAAATTGTATATACCATAGATATCTTTATATCTATTTCTTATCTTCATAGATATCAAACAACGTATCACAAATTTATCATGGAAGAATCTCATACTAAGTATATCAATATGCAGAAATTAGCATTAAGTATTTTTTAAGACTATATAAAAATCGATTTCCTTAAAACAAAACTTTTTGTAGAGATGATCTTTTTTCATTTTATTAATTATTTCATTAAAATTAATGCATTTAAAATTATATCATTTTATAGAAATTTGTTATCGAAATTAGGATAAATTAAAAACTTTAGAATTATATACCTATATGTACTATTGATGCATAAATTGGTCTCGTATTTTTAAGCTTTCGCGTACTTCACGCAGAAATTTAATCTATTATCAAATTTATACGTATTTGACATTTAATGTTACACTTAAATAAGAATCTACTTTCTTCTTTTTAATAATCATCATTATTTATATCAATAATAATTTATATCTATATCAATAATAATCTATATCAATAGTTTTAGAATTTTAGATGAACTAGCAACGTATCTCTTCTTTTGTCTTATATAATTCATTTATATTCATAAATCATTTATGGAGCTAATAATTGATAAACATCTTAACTGCTGTGTGACCCATGTTAAACGCATACATTCATATTTCTTGTTATTTGTTATAATATTAAAATGCGAATTTTTTAATTCAGCAATCAAATATATTAAATATATTAAATAACAATAGAAGTAAAATTGAATTATATATTTAACTATTTTTACCTCTTAAAATAGATTTCTTGGATTTAAAAGACAAAATGTAACACATGTTATATTGCGTTATTCAGACAACATGATTATCAATCTCCTGTCTCGCAAAAATGTAAAACTTACATTTATTTTTTATATAATTTTCTTTTGCTTATAAAATTTTATATTATATACTAAGAAATTATTGTTATATATGTATACTCTTTAATTAATTAAATCTGAATATTTACATATCTTTTAAAGGTATTTGTTATACCTGCCACTTCAACAAAACGATCGGTATCGTCACTTTGACAATCACGAACATTAATATCATCGGATAGTGTACTTCCTATAACGTAAGTAATTACACAAAAATCACATTTTTTAACATTGCGGACTCATCATTGTAAAATATTTCAATTTCATAATTATTATGCGTTTAGTTCGAAGGATGACGAAAATGCAACGTAATTTAGTCATTGGTCTAATGCTTTATTTCGGTTTGCTTACAACATTAGAAGCATTTCGTCCACAAGAAGAGAACACATTACGATTTGTGAGCGTGGTATGATATGCAAATTATAATTCTGCAAAAAAAGATTTCTTCTAAAATACTCGAAACTATTGTAACGTTAAAATTTTCAGCTATTCAGACATGGCGACCGTACTGTAGACACTGCAAATAATGAATCATTCCCAACTGATCCATATAAAACCTTTAACTATTATCCGGATGGCAGCGGTCAGTTAACTAATGTAAGACATTTTATGCATACGCATTTTTAATCCTTTTACTGTTAATATCATCTTATATATTCTATATTTTATGTCACATACTTAAATTTTCAAAAAAAAAAACAAAAATTATGACAATTCTGCGGAAATACCTATTTTTCATATGTAATATGTATACATCAAGAGAGCAAATACGGCTAACTAAATACGTCCGTAATAATAACGAAAAGATTGACATTTTTCTCATTTCTTTGTTTTCGCGTTTGAAAGATATTATTCGTTTATTCTCAAGTTTCCATCTCGTTAGAAAAGAGAAAGTAAAAAATATTATGTCTTACTTTCATTCTTATATATTATTTATTTTTATTAATAATATTATTAAGGCCGGCAAGAAGAGAGTATATGAAATTGGATTGATGCTAAAAAACAGATACAAGAAATTTCTCGGATTATTATATTATCCGCCAAATGTCTACATACGTTGCACGATGATCCCTAGGACCAAGACATCCGCACAGATAGTTCACGCGGCACTTTTCTCACCTACTGGCGAGCAAAAGTGGAATCTGGTACTTCCTTGGCAACCAGCAGATATCAATTACATTCATGATGCTCAAGATATGCTGCTGTTTCCAATTCTGTGTCCCGTGTAAGTAATCTTTTTTTCTTTATCAATATATAATACCAAATGTATAACAATAAATCGTACATCTCAAATAATGCAATAATAATATAATGATTTATATTAAATTTTAATTATATCGATGTCAAAATAATATATGACAAATAGACGAAACAAAAATAATATATGTATGTAAGGCAAGCGATTGACAAAACTTAGGCAAATGTATACAATATACTTATACTCACCTTTTCTTAACATTTTTAACATTTATTTTGTTTCATTAGTATATATTATATATTAATTAATTTAATTTAATTTTGTGACACTTAAAATATTTTTTTACATTACGTTTCAAAAAGAGCGTGTCTATATTTAGAGATTATATTATATAAATTTGTCATAAATAATATATTTTTTTTTAAATTAAAGATTATTTCTCTTTTGTAAATTATTATTCCTTTAAATTTAATTCAAATATGTGCATTTTTTCGGATAGGTATAACAGACTTTATCAAGAAATGCTACAAACTCCAGAAATAAAAAAACAATTAGCAGAATTTGCTAATTTAAGGGAAAAACTGTCAATATGCACAGGAAAAAATATTAACACAATGTATGACTGTTTTCTTGTGTATGGTACTTTGCTTGCACAAAAACATTATGGAATACCTACACTGCCATGCGTGCAAGAAATGTTTCCAAATGGTAAACTTTTGGATGCTGTTAATTTCCAAATGAAACTATTTAGTTATGGCCTGTTAAATAAAATAAATGGAGGTATGTTTAAATGAACAATATACATTTTGTTTATAAATTCTTTAATAATTACAGATTAATCTTCGCGATTGTGCTTAAATATTAGTTATACATTTCGGTTATATAAATGACATTCAGCTATTTTACTTGTTCTTTCATTTTCTTTTATATTTTATTTTTCCTCGGATAAATATGACTGTAAAAGTGACAAGAATAATCGTTTTTAATGTCATAAGTTTAAATAAAATGTTATTTTTACTGTAATATATGTTAATGTTAAATATGCGAGAAATATATATTGAGTTACAAATAACAGCATTTTGAAGTACGCTACCGTTTTAGATCTATGAAATACAGATAATTACTAAAAAGTGACATAGAGTATTTTGATTGAGAAAATAATTAAACCTATTACTTTAATGATTGCATTAAAAAGATTGATACACATTTCAATCATGTATAATTTAATAAAAAAATGTTTATACATGAATAGATCACGTATGTATCTATATACTTTATAAAATATTTATGAATATTTTTTCTAGGTATATTGTTACGCAGAATAATTAACGATATGGAACAGAAGAAAAATGGAACCTTAAAAGATCGAAGGATCAATCTCTATTCTGGACACGACTTCAATCTGGCCGCATTATTGCAGGCTTTAAATATATATAATAATGAAATTCCAAAATACGGAAGCTGTATCATGATAGAATTGCATGAAATGAATAACGAGTATTTTGTGAAAGTAAGAATCTATTTTCATGTGCCAGTACCATTTGCAAACAATACTTGTATCACTAACAATAACAAATGCTTTTTTTTGTAGGTATTATATTATTTAGGTATACCAACAAGAATAGAAGAAAAGGTCATCCCTGGCTGTGAGGTATTATGTCCGTATAATAAATTCGTTCAATTATTATCGGCAACAACTGCGACGAACGAAGAATCGCAATGTCCAGAAAAAATGAACTTAAGTTTTAAATTTTAACGATTTGATTTTCGACTGTCCTTATTAATTCTTTTCGTGATGTAGTAATTCATGTTTGATTGATTGAATTTGACAAAACATTTAAACGACGATATAAAGATTTTTGAATTATTTTTGAATGACAAAACATTTGAATGGCATATTAAAATTTTTTTATAAGATTTGAATAAAATTGATTATATGTATATATATCTATATGTATATGTTTATGTTGTTGTTATATAGATTTGTTATTATAAATGTGAAACTGTTTATTTGTATTAATAATTTATATAATATTCACTCTTTTAACAATGTAGAATTTTTACAACAACATAATGAATAATGTACTAATCTGACGATCAATATGGTAAGCGTTTTTATAATGTACAAGAAGTCTTTAATCGCGCATGATTACTAATATAATGAATAAAGTGATATATCAGCAATCTTAAGCTCTGTGTGTCTTCTAGTCTTCTAGTACTAGATTGTATATAGATATCTTTATATCCATTTCTTATCTTCATAGATATCAAACAACGTATCACAAATTTATCAAGGAAAAGTCTCATACTAAGAATATCAATATGCAGAAATTAGCATTAAGCATTTTTATGACTAATATATTAAAATCGATTTCCTTAAAACAAAACTTTGTAGAGGTAATCTTTTTTTTATTTTATTAATTTTTTCATTAAATTAATTAATTTAAAATTATATCATTAAGAAAAAATTTCTTATCGAAATTTAGATAAATTAAAAAACTTTAGAATTATATATATGTACTATTGATGCATAAATTAGTCTCGTATTTTTAAGCTTTCGCGTACTTCATGCACAAATTTAATCTATTATCAAATTTATAAGTATTTGACATTTAATGTTACACTTAAATAAGAATCTACTTTCTTTTTTTTAATGATCATCATTATCTATATCAATAATAACTTTAAAGTTTTAAATAAAACTAGCAACATATCTCTTCCTATATAATTTATTTATATTAATAAATCATTTATGGAGCTAGTAATTAATTAACATCTTAACTGCTGTGTGACCCATGTTAAACGCATACATTCATATTTCTTGTTATTTGTTATAATATTAAAATGCGAGTTTTTTTAATTCAGAAATCAAATATATTAAATATTAAATATTAATAAAGAAAAACTGAATTATATATTTAGCTATTTTTACCTCTTAAAATAGATTTCTTGGATTTAAAAGACAAAATGTAACACATGTTATATCGCGTTATTCAGACAACATGATTCTTTATCAATCTCCTGTCTCGCAAAAATGTAAAACTTACATTTATTTTTATATAATCTTTTTGCTTATAAAATTTTATATTATATGCTAAGAAATTATTGTTATATATATGTATACTTTTTAATTAATTAAAAAATAGAAATATTTAACATTAGTTTATAGTTAAATTTGCTTTATAAATAAAATATTTATATATTAATGATTATTTTTGTATCTGATACTCAATATAAAATATAAAACTTACATTATTCATATGAAGTTTTTTTTTTAAATATGTCAAACAAAACTTACATATACCTATATTTAAATTAAATTTTGAGAATACAAAATAAGAAAAATAAGGACCATAGTGTAGGATTTATTTTGATTCTTTTATCCTTATTTAGCATGATGATACACGACTGTTGAAAACGTTAAATATTTACATTAACTTTTAAAGATATTTGTATACCTGCCACTTCAACAAAACGATCGGCATCGTCACTTTGACATAACCATCACGAACATCAATATCATCGGACGTGTACCTCCTAACGTAAGTAATTACACAAAAATCACATTTTTATAGCAAACTCATCATTGTGACATATTTCAATTTCATAATTATATTGTGCGTTTAATTCAAAGGATGACGAAAATGCAACATAGTTTAGGCATTGTTCTAATGCTTTGTTTCGGTTTGCTTACAACATTAGAAGCAATTCTTATTCGAGGCGAAGAGTCATTACAAGACGATACATTACGATTTGTGAATGCGGTACGATATGAAAATTATAATTCTTCAAAAAAAGATTTCTTTTAAAATACTCGAAACTATTGTAACGCTAAAATTTTCAGGTATTTAGACATGGCGATCATACTGCAGACACTGCAAATAATGAATCTTTCCCAAATGATCCATACAAAACCTTTGACTACTATCCTGATGGTATCGGTCAGTTAACTGATGTAAGACATTTTATGCATATGCATTTTTAATCCTTTTACTGTTAATATCATCTTATATATTCTATATTTTATGTCACATACTTAAATTTTCAAAAAAAAACAGAAATTATGACAATTCTGCGGAAATACCTATTTTTCATATGTTATATGTATACATCGAAAGAGTAAATACGGCTAACTATAAATACGTCCGTAATAATAACGAAAAGATTGACATTTTTCTCATTTCTTTGTTTTCGCGTTTGAAAGATATTATTCGTTTATTCTCAAGTTTCCATCTCGTTAGAAAAGAGAAAGTGAAAAATATTATGTCTTACTTTCCTTCTTATATATTATTTATTTTTATTAATAATGTTATTATCAAGCTCGGCAAGAAGAGAGTATATGCACTCGGAGTGATGCTAGAACTCAGATACAGCAACTTTCTCGGATCATATTATTATCCGCCAAATGTCTACACACGTTGCACGATGATCCCTAGGACCAAGACATCTGCACAAATAATTCACGCGGCACTTTTCTTACCTATTGATAAGCAAAAGTGGAATGTGGTACTTCCTTGGCAACCAACAGATATCAATTACATGCATGATGCTCAAGATATGCTGCTGTTTCCAATTCGGTGTCCCGTGTAAGTAATCTTTTTTTCTTTATCAATATATAATACCAAATGTATAACAATAAATCGTACATCTCAAATAATGCAATAATAATATAATGATTTATATTAAATTTTAATTATATCGATGTCAAAAATAATATATGACAAATAGACGAAACAAAAATAATATATGTATGTAAGGCAAGCGATTGACAAAACTTAGGCAAATGTATACAATATACTTATACTCACCTTTTCTTAACATTTTTAACATTTATTTTGTTTCATTAGTGTATATTATATATTAATTAATTTAATTTAATTTTGTGACACATAAGATATTTTTTTACATTACGTTTCAAAAAGAGCGTGTCTATATTTAGAGATTATATAAATTTATCATAAATAATATATTATTTTTTTTAAATTAAAGATTATTTCTTTCCGTAAATTATTATTACTTTAAAATTAATTTAAATTTGTGCATTTTTTCGGATAGATATTACCGACTGTATCAAGAAATGCTACAAACTCCAGAAATAAAAGCAAAAGTAGCAGAATTTGATGATTTAAGGAAAAAACTATCGATATGCACAGGAAAAAATATTACCTCAATATATGACTGTTTTCTTGTGTATAACACTTTGCTTGCACAAAAACATTATAACCTATCTACACTCCCATGCACGGAAGACATATTTCCAAATGGCAAACTTTTGGATGCTGTTATTTTCCAAATGAAACTATTTAGTTATGGCCCGTTAAATAAATTAAATGGAGGTATGTGTGAATAAACAACATACATTTTGTTTATAAATTCTCTAATAATTAAAGATTAATATTCGCGATTGTACTTGAATATTAGGTATACATTTCGGTTATATAAATGACATTCAGCTATTATACTTGTTTTTTTATTTTCTTTTATATTTTATTTTACTTCAGATAAATATGATTATAAAAGTGACAAGAATAACCGTTTTCAATGTCACAAGTTTTAAAAAAACGTTATTTCTACTGTAATACGTGTTAATGTTAAATATGCGAGAAATATATATTCCGTTAGAAATAACAGCATTCTGAAGCACGTTACCGTTTTAGATCTATAAAATACAAATAAGTATTAAGAATTGACATGGATTATTTTGATTAAGAAGGGAATTAAATCTAATATTTTAATGATTACATTAAAAAGATTGATACACATCTCAGTCATGTGTAACTTAATAAAAAAATGTTTATATATGAATAGATCACGTATGTATCTATATATTTTTATATAATGTTTATGAATATTTTTTCTAGGTATATTGTTACGCAGAATAATTAACGATATGAAACAGAAAATAAATGGAACCTTACCAGATAGAAAGATCAATCTCTTTTCTGCACACGACTTAAATGTGGCCGCATTATTGCAGGCTTTAAATATATATAATAACGAAACTCCAAAATACGGAAGCTGTATCATAATAGAATTGCATGAAAAGAATAACGAGTATTTTGTGAAAGTAAGAATCTATTTTCATGTGCCAGTACCATTTGCAAATAATACTTGTATCACTAATGCTTAACAATTAACTAATGCTTATTTTTTGTAGGTATTATATTATTTAGGTATACCATCAAAAACAGAAGAAAAAGTCATCCCTGGCTGTGAGGTATTATGTCCGTATAATAAATTCGTTGAATTATTATCGGAGACAACTGCGACAAACGAAGAATCACAATGTCTAGGAAAAATGAATTTAAATTTAAAATTTTAACAATTTGATTTTCGATTATTTTTATAAATTCTCTTCATGATGCAGTAATTCATATTTGATTGATTGAATTTGACAACACATTTGAACGGCATTTTAAAGATTTTTGAATAATTTTTAAATAAAAACACATTTGAATGGCATTTTAAAGATTTTTTATAAGATTTGAATAAAATTGATTATATACTAGTATATATTGTATATATATATATATATATATATATATATATATATGTTTATGTTATTGTTATATAAATTTGTCATTATAAATGTGAAACTGTTTATTTGTATTAATGATCTATATAATATCCACTCTTTTAACAATGTAGAACTTTCACAGCAACATAATGAATAATGTATACTAATCTGATGAACAATAAGATTAGCATTCTTATAATGTACAAGAAGTTTTAATCGCATGATTACTAATATGATGAAATAAAGTGATATATCGGCAATCTTAAGCTCTGTCTTCTAGTCTTCTAGTACTAAATTGTGTGTATATAGATATCTTTATATATATTTCTTATCTTCATAGATATCAAACAACGTATCACAATTTTATCAAGGAAAAATCTCATACTAAGTATATCAATATGCAGAAATTAGCATTAAATATTTTTTAAGACTATATAAAAATCGATTTCCTTAAAACAAAACTTTTTGTAGAAATGATCTTTTTTCATTTCATTTATTATATCATTAAAATTAATGCATTTAAAATTATATCATTTTATAAAAATTTGTTATCGAAATTAGGATAAATTAAAAACTTTAGAATTATATATATGTACTATTGATGCATAAATTAGTATCGTATTTTTAAGCTTTCGCGTACTTCATGCACAAATTTAATCTATTATCATTTTATACGTATTTGACATTTAATGTTACACTTAAATAAGAATCTACTTTCTTTTTTTAATAATCATCATTATTTATATGCATAATAACTTATATCTATATCAATAATAATCTATATCAATAATTTTAAAATTTTAGATCGCAAAAATGTAAAACTTACATTTATTCTTTGTATAATTCTTTTTTGCTTATATAATTTTATATTATATGCTAGGAAATTATTGTTACATATGTATACTCTTTAATTAAATAAAAAATAGAAATATTTAATGTTAGTTTATAGTTAAATCTGCTTTATTATTAAAATATTTATATATTAGTCATTATTTTTGTGTTTGATATTCACATACACAATTTAAAATGTAAAACTTACATTATTCATATGAACTTTTTTTTAAATATTTCAAAACTTATATACATATATACCTATATTTAAATTAAATTTTGAGAATACAAAATAAGAAAAATATAACGACCATAGTGTTAGATTTATTTTGATTCTTTTATCCTTATTTAGTATAATGATACACGACTGTTGAAATTGTTAAATATTTACATCATCTTTTAAAGGTATTTGTATACCTGCCACTTCAACAAAACGATCGGCATCGTCACTTTGACATAACCATCACGAACATCAATATCATCGGACGTGTACTTCCTAATGTAAGTAATCCTTTCCTTAAAAAGTGTATGTTAAGTCGATTACTCGATTATATCGAAACGTTGAAGCCTTTTTTTCTGCGACGCTGATTAGATGCTGGCGCGTAGTGATATATTCATGGTTAATAGGGTAGGTGCGTAACGTTCGAGCGCTTCGTAATATAAAAATGATGTTTTCTATTATGTATTCAAATTCCCAAATTTCTATTATGTACACAATTTAAATTCGATAAATTTAAATTATGTATATTATAAAAATTCGAGAATTAAAATTATGTACATAATTGAAATTCGGCAAATTAGAATTATGCATCTTCGCGGAGAAAAAGGTTGTTTAGCGCGCGCAAAGCAAGCTTGTGTTATCTAGTTATACAAAAATCACATTTTTATTTCGGACTCATCATTGTGAAATATTTCAATTTCATAATTATTATGCGTTTAGTTCGAAGGATGACGAAAATGCAACGTAATTCAAGCATTGTTCTAATGCTTTGTTTTGGTTTGCTTACAACATTAGAAGCATTTCATCAACAAGAAGAGAACACATTACGGTTTGTGAGCGCGGTACGATATGAAAGTTATAATTCTGCAAAAAAGATTTCTTCTAAAAAACTCGAAACTATTGTAACGCTAAAATTTTCAGGTATTCAGACATGGCGATCGTACTGCAGACGTTGACAATAATGAATCATTCCCAACTGATCCATATAAAACCTTTAACTATTATCCGGATGGCAGCGGTCAGTTAACTAATGTAAGACATTTTATGCATACGCATTTTTAATCCTTTCGCTGTTAATATCATCTTATATATTCTATATTTTATGTCACATACTTAAATTTTCAGAAAAAAAAACAGAAATTATGACAATTCTGCGGAAATACCTATTTTTCATATGTAATATGTATACATCAAGAGAGCAAATACGGCTAAATATATATAAATCGGTCCGTAATAATAACAAAAAAATTGACATTTTTCTCATTTCTTTGTTTTCGCGTTTGAAAGATATTATTCGTTTATTCTTAAATTTCCATCTCTTTAGAAGAGAGAAAGTGACCTGAGAGTAAAATATTACGTCTTATTTTCCTTTTTATATAATATTTATTTTTATTAATAATGTTATTATCAAGATCGGCAAGAAGAGAATATATGACCTTGGATTGATGCTAAAAGACAGATACAACCAATTACTCAAACCACTTTATTACCCGCCAATGGTCTACGTACGTAGCACAATGATCCCTAGGACTAAAATATCCGCACAGATATGTCACGCAGCACTTTTCCAAATTGATGACCAATTTGAGAAGTGGAATCATCCATTTTCTTGGCACCCAGCAGATATCAATTACATTCATGATGCTCAAGATATGCTGCTGTTTCCAATTTTGTGCCCCGTGTAAGTAAACTTTTTTCTTTTTTACTTTTTTTATATAACACTGAATGTATAAGAATAAATCGTACATCTCAAAAATATAAATAATAATATAATGATTTATATTGAATTTTAATTATATTAATATTATAATAATATTAATAATTATATTAATGTCATAATAATATATGACAAATGGACGAAACAAAAATAATATACCTATGTATGTAAAGCAAGCGATTGACAAAACTTAAACAAATGTATATACAATATACTCTCATTTTCTTAACATTTTTAACATTTATTTTATTTTATTAGTCTATATTATATATTAGTTAATTTAATTTAATTTTGTGACACTGAAAATATTTTTTTACATTACGTTTTAAAAAAAGCGCGTCTATATTTAGAGATTATATTATATAAATTTATCATAAATAATATATTATTTAAATTAAAGATTAGTTCTTTTCCGTAAATTATTATTACTTTAAAATTAATTCAAATATGTGTATATTTTCGGATAGATATTACCGACTTTATCAAAAAATGCTACAAACTCCAGAAATAAAAGCAAAAATAGCAGAATTTGATGATTTAAGGGAAAAACTATCGATATGCACAAGAAAAAATATTACCTCAATGTACGATTTTTTTCATTTGTATAATACTATGTTTACACAAAGGCATTATGGACTACCTCTACTGCAATGCACGCAAAACATATTTTTAAATGGCACAATTGTGGAAGCTGCTATTTTCCAATTGAAACTATTTAGTTATGGCCCGTTAAATAAATTAAATGGAGGTATGTATGAATGAACAACATACATTTTGTTTATAAATTCTCTAACAATTAAGGATTATTATTCGCGATTGTACTTAAATATTAGGTATACATTTCGGTTATATAAATGACATTCAGCTATTTTACTTGTTCTTCCAATTTCTTTTATATTTTATTTTTCCTCAGATAAATATGACTATAAAAGTGACAAGAATAACCGTTTTCAATGTCACAAGTTTAAAAAAAATATTATTTTTTTTGTAATATATATTAATGTTCAATGCGAGAAATATATATTTCGTTAGAAATAACAGCATTCTGAAGCACGTTACCGTTTTAGGTCTATAAAATACGGATAATTACTAAGAATTGACATGAATTATTTTGATTGAGAAAATAATTAAATCTATTATTTTAATGATTGTATTAAAAAGATTGATACACATCTCAATCATGTTAATTTAAAAGAAAAATGTTTATCTATGAATAGATCACGTATATATCTATATATTTTTATAAAATATTTATGAACATTTTTTCCAGGTATATTGTTAGGCAGAATAATTAACGATATGAAACAGAAAATAAATGGAACCTTACCAGATAGAAAGATCAATCTCTTTTCTGCACACGACATAAATGTGGCCGCATTATTGCAGGCTTTAAATATATATAATAATGAAATTCCAAGATACGGAAGCTGTATCATGATAGAATTGCATGAAAAATATGACGAGTTTTTTGTGAAAGTAAGAATCTATTTTTATGTGCCAATATCATTTGCAAATAATACTTGTTATCACTAATGCTTAACAATTAATTAATGCTTATTTTTTGTAGGTATTATATTATTTAGGTATACCAGCAAAAACAGAAGAAAAAATCATCCCTGGCTGTGAGGTATTATGTCCGTATAATAAATTCGTTCAATTATTATCGGCGACAACTGCGACGAACGAAGAATCGCAATGTCCAGAAAAAATGAACTTAAATTTTAAATTTTAACGATTTGATTTTGGACTATTTTTATTAATTCTCTTCGTGATGTAGTAATTCATGTTTAATTGATTGAATTTGACAGAACATTTGAACGATATTTAAAAAATTTTTGAATGATTTTTGAATGAGAGTTTATTTGAATGGCATTTTAAAGATTTTTTATAAGATTTGAATAAAATTGATTATATACTAGTATATATTGTGTGTATATATATATATATATATATATATATATATGTGTGTGTGTTTATGTTGTTGTTATATAGATTTGTCATTATAAATGTGAAACTGTTTATTTGTATTAATGATCTATATAATATCCACTCTTTTAACAATGTAGAACTTTCACAGCAACATAATGAATAATGTATACTAATCTGACGAACAATAAGATTAGCATTCTTATAATGTACAAGAAGTTTTTAATCGCATAATTACTAATATGATGAAATAAAGTGATATATCGGCAATCTTAAGCTCTGTCTTCTAGTCTTCTAGTACTAAATTGTGTGTGTGTATATAGATATCTTTATATATATTTTTTATCTTCATAGATATCAAACAACGTATCACAACTTTATCAAGAAAGAATCTCATACTAAGTATATCAATATGCAGAAATTAGCATTAGGTATTTTTTAAGACTATATAAAAATCGATTTCCTTAAAACAAAACTTTTTGTAGAGATAATCTTTTTTCATTTCATTAATTATTTCATTAAAATTAATGCATTTAAAATTATATCATTTTATAGAAATTTGTTATCAAAATTAGGATAAATTAAAAACTTTGGAATTATATATATGTACTATTGATGTATAAATTAGTATCGTATTTTTAAGCTTTCGCGTACTTCATGCACAAATTTAATCTATTATCAAATTTATACGTATTTGACATTTAATGTTACACTTAAGTAAGAATCTACTTTCTTCTTTTTAATAATCATCATTATTTATATCAATAATAATTTATGTCTATATCAATAATAATCTATATAATTTTAGAATTTTAGATGAACTAGCAACGTATCTCATCTTTTGTCTTATATAATTCATTTCTATTAATAAATCATTTATGGAGCTAATAATTAATAAACATCTTAACTGCTGTGTGACCCATGTTAAACGCATACATTCATATTTCTTGTTATTTGTTATAATATTAAAATGCGAGTTTTTTTAATTCAGATATCAAATATATTAAATATTAAATATTAATAAAGGAAAACTAAATTATATATTTAGCTATTTTTACCTCTTAAAATAGATTTCTTGGATTTAAAAGACAAAATGTAACACATGTTATATCGCGTTATTCAGACAACATGATTTTTTATGAATCTCCTGTCTCGCAAAAATGTAAAACTTACATTTATTCTTTGTATAATTCTTTTGTGCTTATATAATTTTATATTATATGCTAGGAAATTATTGTTACATATGTATACTCTTTAATTAATAAAAAATAGAAAAATTTAATGTAAGTTTATAGTTAAATTTGCTTCATAAATAAAATATTTTTATATTAGTGATTATTTTTGTGTTTGATACTCACATACACAATTTAAAATATAAAACTTACATTATTTATATGAACTTGTTTTTAAATATGTTAAAACTTATATACATATATACCTATATTTAAATTAAATTTTGAGAATATAAAATAAGAAAAATATAACGACCATAGTGTTAGATTAATTTTGATTCTTTTATCCTTATTTAGCATGATGATACACGACTGTTGAAAACGTTAAATACTTACATTATTTTTTAAAGATATTTGTATACCTGCCATTTCAACAAAACAATCGGCATCGTCACTTTGACATAATCATCACGAACATCAATATCATCGGACGTGTACTTCCTAATGTAAGTAATTACACAAAAATCACATTTTTTAACATTGCGGACTCATCATTGTGACATATTTCAATTTCATAATTATATTGTGCGTTTAATTCGAAGGATGACGAAAATGCAACATAGTTTAGGCATTGTTCTAATGCTTTATTTCGGTTTGCTTACAACATTAGAAGCATTTCGTCAACAAGAAGAGAACACATTACGATTTGTGAGCGCGGTACGATATGAAAATTATAATTCTTCAAAAAAAGATTTCTTTTAAAAAACTCGAAACTATTGTAACGTTAAAATTTTCAGCTATTCAGACATGGCGACCGTAGTCTAGACACTGCAAAAAATGAATCATACCCATCTGATCCATATAAAACCTTTGACTATTATCCGGATGGCAGCGGTGAATTAACTGATGTAAGACATTTTATGCATACGCATTTTTAATCCTTGCACTGTTAATATCATCTTATATATTCTATATTTTATGTTACATACTTAAATTTTCAAAAAAAACAGAAATTATGACAATTCTGCGGAAATACCTATTTTTCATATGTAATATGCATACATCAAGAGAGCAAATACGGCTAAGTAAATAGGTCTGTAATAATAACGAAAAGATTGACATTTTTCTCATTTCTTTGTTTTCGCGTTTGAAAGATATTGATCGTTTATTCTCAAATTTCCATCTCTTTAGAAGAGAGAAAGTGACACGAAAGTAAAATATTACGTCTTATTTTTCATTATATATATTATTTGTTTTTATTAATAATGTTATTATCAAGGTCGGCAGGCAGAGAATATATGACCTCGGATTGATGCTAAAAGAGAGATACAACCAATTTCTCGGAGAAGTTTATTACCCGCCAATGGTCTACGTACGTAGCACGAGGCTCCCTAGGGCCAAGACATCCGCACAGATATGTCACGCAGCACTTTTCAAAATTTATGACCAATGTCAAAGGTGGTATAATCCATTTTTTTGGCAACCAGCTGATGTCAATTACTTTCATGATGGTCAAGATATGCTGTTATTTCCATTGTTCTGCCCCAAGTAATTAAACTTTTTTTCTTTTTTACTTTTTTTATATAACACTGAATGTATAACAATAAATCGTACATTTCAAATAATATAAATAATAATATAATAATTTATATTATATTTTAATTATGTTAATATCATAATAATATTAATAATTATATTAATGTCATAATAATATATAACAAATGGACGAAACAAAAATAATATATGTATGTAAGGCAAGCAATTAACAAAACTTAAACAAATGTATATACAATATACTCTCATTTTCTTAACATTTTTAACATTTATTTTATTTCATTAGTCTATATTATATATTAGTTAATTTAATTTAATATTGTGACACTGAAAATATTTTTTTACATTACATTTCAAAAAGAGCGTGTCTATATTTAGAGATTATATTATATAAATTTATCATAAATAATATATTATTTAAATTAAAGATTAATTCTTTTCCGTAAATTATTATTACTTTAAAATTAATTCAAATATGTGCATTTTTTCGAATAGATATTACCGACTTTATCAAAAAATGATACAAACTCCAGAAATAAAAGCAAAAATAGCAGAATTTGCTGATTTAAGGAAAGAACTATCGATATGCTCAGGAAGAAATGTTACCTCAATGTACGACATTTTTCGTTTGTATCATACTATGTTTGTACAAAGGGATTATGGACTATCTCTACTGCAATGCGCGCAAAACATATTTCGAAATGGCACAATTGTGGATGCTTATATTTACCAATTGAAACTATTTAGTTATGGCCCGTTAAATAAATTAAATGGAGGTATGTGTGAATAAACAACATACATTTTGTTTATAAATTCTCTAACAATTAAAGATTATTCTTCGCAATTGTACTTAAATATTAGGTATACATTTCGGTTATATAAATGACATTCAGCTATTTTACTTGTTCTTCCATTTTCTTTTTTTTTTATTTTTCCTCAGATAAATATGACTATAAAAGTGACAAAAATAACCGTTTTCAATGTCACAAGTTTAAAAAATATTATTTTTTCTGTAATATATACTAATGTTCAATGCGAGAAATATATATTCCGTTAGAAATAACAGCATTCTGAAGCACGTTACCGTTTTAGGTCTATTCTATAAAATACAGATAATTACTAAGAATTGACATGGATTATTTTGATTGAGAAAATAATTAAATCTATTATTTTAATGATTGCATTAAAAAAATTGATACACATCTGAATCATGTTTAATTTTAAAGAAAAATGTTCATATTTTAATAGATCACGTATGTATTTATATATTTTTATAAAATATTTATGAACATTTTTTCTAGGTACATTGTTACGCAGAATAATTAACGATATGGAACAGAAAATAAATAAAAAATTACCAGAGCTAAAGATCAATCTCTTTTCTGCACACGACTTAAATGTGGCCGCATTATTGCAGGCTTTAAATATATATAATAACGAAATTCCAAGATACGGAAGCTGTATCATGATAGAATTGCATGAAATGAATAACGAGTATTTTGTGAAAGTAAGAATCTATTTTCATGTGCCAGTACCATTTGCAAATAATACTTGTATCACTAATGCTTAACAATTAACTAATGCTTATTTTTTGTAGGTATTATATTATTTAGGTATACCAGCAAAAACAAAAGCAAAAGTCATCCCTGGCTGTGAGGTATTATGTCCGTATAATAAATTCGTTCAATTATTATCGACGACAACTGCGACGAACGAAGAATTGCAATGTCCAGAAGAACTGAGAATATTGAAATTTTAACGATTTGATTTTGGACTATTTTTATTAATTCTCTTCGTGATGTAGTAATTCATGTTTAATTGATTGAATTTGACAAAACATTTGAACGACATTTTAAAGATTTTTGAATGTTTTTTGAGTGAGAATTCATTTGAATGGCATTTTAAAGATTTTTTATAAGATTTGAATAAAATTGATTATATGTATATGTATCTATATATGTATATGTTTATACATACATATATATGTACATACATTAATTGTAACTTTAAAATTTTTTATAAATTATTAGGTCGAAATTAGATAAATTGCTAATAGTGAATATAATAAGAATATAGTATATTAACACGATTTTTTTTAACCGAAACGTTATCTCACTTAATGTTATTTAAATGGTAAATTTATCCTAATTAAAGTAATTTTTGTCTCAAAAAATTATTATATATATCGCAATCTTTTTGATCTTATACAATGTAAAAAAAAAGATATTTCGAGGATGTCATCCCTTTATCTTCTCTG